AGGTTTGGGGAACGAGTAGATTATCACAAAGTTCATTTCTTGTCGACCTCATAATTTCACGATGGTACAAATCGATTTACTGTTTACTTTCGCTTCTCATGTTTTGTAAACTGTCATTTATTTTTAAACCCGAACCAGGCATATGCATTCTGGAAGGGTGACCTGTAATTGTGCAAATCTTCGTTCTTTGGTCAGTTGGCTTATGGATAGTTGTATCATTTTCAACTCCTACATTATTTTTTTTTTAAAATATATTCAATTTGTTTCTACATAACACATGCAATGGCAGTACCTTTCCAATTACTATTTATGTGTTGTGTCTAAATTTAAATTGTAACACTTTATAGTGACTGGAAAGGGTAGAAAAATTCATCAGATGAGAAAATGCTGAAGACACAGGTCTGGAAACGGCACCAGATCATTAGATATTGCATCTTATAAAAAGAAGCTGAGATTTGGATAGTTCCACTTCAAGGTAAAAATGTTTATCTCTTGTGAAACGAAATAAAAAAAATATTGTAACACTGTAGTTAATTAATAAAGATACTATTACGTGTATTTCTGTATTGGCCTTGTTATTGGTCCTCGGCCAGCTGTATTGGCCGTCGGCTTCGCCTCAGGCCAATACAGCAAGCCTCGGACCAATAACAAGGCCAATACAGAAATACTCACGTAATAATATCATATTAATATGTATAACTCTTCAAACATTCAATTGCTTGTGACAGAACTAAGCTATATAATATATAGAGAATATCATACAAGGTTTTTTTTTTGTATAACAGCCAATATCAGCCTGATAAATTAGTTAGAGGGTCTGATATTGACGTTAATATGTGAAGTGATTTGGACAAAAAAACTTTTAAAGAATTTATTTCATAATAACTTTTATAAGCCATTGATATGTACATCATAAGGCATTACAGGGGTTAATATAGACCCTTCAGTATGCCCAAACACTTATTATTAAATATATAATAAATCTCATAAAACATCATCATAATTATTTTTGTAAGAACATAGATGAAAAAGAAAAAAGTATCTTCTTAATATAAGCAACATAATAATATTTCATAATGACTTCAAACACAAAGATCCTCTGCATATCAAAATGCAACAATTTTTTTGTGCTTTGTGAGAAGTAAGCAGACCAGTTTTATTTCAGTTGATCCATTGCATTAAGAAAAAGTTTAGATCCAGAGTAAAACTATATTTCTACAATTGCAGTTAGACTGGATGTCAGGCAACCTTAAACTTGAACTTAAAGGAAAAGCTTTACCACTCAGTAAATCAATTCAGGTCAAGGCACAGTAACTGGGCAATGTAAGATTTTTGAAATATTTTGAACTCACTAAAAAAGAACGGGAAATTATTCATTTTTTCTTTTAAATATGAATTCAATGATAAAAATGTATTGAGTTCATTTGAAATTGTGATTCCTCCAAAACAAGTCCATAGAATTTTCTCAAAAACCTATATATATTATTGCCCTGAAAAATTCTGTTTCAATAAACCAAAATTATTATAGGATCATCAACTTCATTTTTGTTTTATTCATCATTGAAAGTGTACTTCATGACAAATAAAAGAAGAATGTGTCCATGGGACACAGATGCCTCTAGTTGTAAATAGTTGCAAGATATGCAAACTAATTGACATATTGTTTTCTTTAAAACTTAATGACATTTGTTTCTGTATGTTTACATTTGAGATTGCTTTGGTGATTGAGTGCTCTCATTGTTCAATAACAAACAGTAATGGGGTAACTCCAGAACGGTGAAAGTGACACCACCCTAATTGGATCTTGATCTGTGTTTGGTGGTAATAAGCATTGTGTATAAGTTTCATAACATTTGGTTGAGGCAAAATAAAATCAGAGTTGAGAAACAGCAATTTTGGCAATTTTTGCATTAAAAAAGTACATAACTCAAGAACGATGAAAGTGACATCACCAAAATTGAATCTTAATTTGTGTTTGGTGGTAATAAGCATGGTGCATAAGTTTTATAACATTTGGTTGAGGCAAAGTAAAATCAGAGTTCAGAAACGGCAATTTTGCCAATTTTTCCATTTAAAAAGGGACATAACTCAACAACGATGAAAGTGGCATCACCAAAATTTAAACTTGATCTGTGTTTGGTGGTAATAAGTATTGTGTATAAGTTTCATAACATTTGGCCAAGGCAAACTTAAGTTAGAGAACGGAAACCTATTTTGGAATGTACAGACAGACAAGGATAAACCTTAATGCCTCCTCTGCCACACCAGGGGCATAAAAATACCCCAAAGTGTCAAAATAATCATAAAAGAGTAGTGCTGTTTAGCTGTAAAATATAATTCATAGATGTTTTTCACTACCAACAAGGTAATACAATGGAAATAAACAGATGCCCCAGTTGTGCAAGAAACAGCATTGTATGAATATTAAAATTGTTACAAGAATAAAATGGAATACTTTAGGAGCATTTAATCAGAAGTCAGCTAATATTGCCCCTCAGAAAAAAAAACTTAGGTATAAAATAATTGCTTTTAATTTGAATGTTAAAACTCCCATAACTTGAGAGAAGCACATCTGAAAATTTTTAAATTCAGAAGAGAATCAGACTTTCCCAAATCTCCAAAACAATATTAAGTTTGATACAAATTGGTCTAATAAAAAAATGCGGAGAGGTGGTATGATTACCAATGAGACAACTATCCATCAGAGTTAAAATGAAGCAGTAGAAAGTAATAAAATGCCACGGTACAGCCTTCAACAATGAGAAAAATGTCCCGTACAGTCGGCTATAAAAGGCCCAGACATGAAAAATGTAAAACAAATTTAAACAAAAAAAGTAACGATCTAAGCATACACAAGATAGAAATTTTTTTAATTGAAAAGACGCTTACTTTCTCCAACAACAATATAAAGTGTTTAAAAATTGGCCAAAGCATGCTCAAGATAGTGTGTGAAATAGTCTTAAATTCAATAACTCTGGAATGACAGTTCAGAAATATTCAAAATCAAAAGAGAGCTTTCTTTCCCTTATCCTTACAACAATAGAAAGTTTGAAAAAAATTGATCCAAGCATACTCAAGTTAGTGCATGATAAATGAAAAAAGAGTGCAAACGCTGAAATGTCTCGCCTGCTTTACTGACCATTAATTTTATGTTGAAAGTCTTAAAGATAAAGGTTTAACTAAAATAATCACAGAAACTCAGGTCAGATAAATCCTGTCAGACAGACATATACAACTTATAATTTTTGTATACACAAAATATAGTTGACCTATTGCTTATGATAATTGAAAAACAGACCAAAACAAAAAAAACTTAACATTAACCACTGAACCATGAAAATGAGATCAAGGTCAGATGATATCTGCCAGACAGACATATACACCTTACAATTATCCATACACCAAATATAGTTGACCTACTGTGAATTCATTATTATTCGTTGGATACCAATTTTCATGGAGTTCGTGGGTATTGGTGAACCAAGAAATTAAATGTTCAACGAATAACAAATTTTCTATAAGCTTGTATGCAGACTTCGGCAAAACCATGAAATTAAATATCCACGAACATGCAAGTTTTCCTTAATCCACGAAAATTGGTACCCACGAAAATAAGTGAATCCACAGTATTGCTTATAGTACTTGAAAAACAGACCAAACCACAAAAACTTAACATTGATCAATGAACCATGAAAATGAGGTCAAGGTCAGATGAAACCTGCCAGACTGACATGTACCCATTACAATCATTCCATACACAACATATAGTTGACCTACTGCTCATAGCATTTGAGAAACGGACATAATCACTTAACTTTAACCTTGATCACTGATCCATGAAATAAGGTCGAGGTCAGGTGAACCCTGTCTGACAGACATGTAGACGTTGCAAGGAACCCATATACCAAATATGGTATCCTATTACTCATAATAAGTGAAAATTCACATGACAAAAAAACTCAAATTTTTTTTCAAGCAGTCGATGAACCATGAAAATGAGGTCAAGGACATTGGACATATGACAGACTGAAACTACGTAACATAAGGTATCTACATACAAGATATGAAGCATCCAGGTCTTCTACCTTCTGAAATATAAAGCTTTATACAAATAGTTTACGCCGCCACCGCCGGATAGTAATACCTATGTCTGGCATGTCGCAGGCGAGACCAAAATGCCTTATATCTGATAATTAAAGTCCTATAACTCTGGAATGACCAATCTCACATTTTCAAAATCAAAAAGTTAATGAGTTTTACCATCCCAACAATAATGTAGTATTGATTAAACCAACTAGATTGCTTTAAATCTGACTGTTAAAGTCCCATAACTCTGGAAGCACAAAATGAAAAATTTTCTTAATCAAAAAGGAGCTTTAGTTCTTACATTCAAATATTCCATAAAAGTTTAATGAAAATTGATCAAGGCATTTCTAGCATTTATACTATGTGTGGATGGATGGAGAGATAAAAAATGACGAATGTATAAAACTGAAAATGAAGTCAGTGATCCTTTGATTATTTCATATCAAATGTACATAAACCAAATAGGAAAACTCTATTGATAAGTTTAGGAAATATGATCTTCACACAATTCTAAGAATTACTTAACCTATTCTTACACCTGCATAATAAGAAGGAATATCCATTCAATCATATTTCAGAAAATAAAAAAGATTAATGCATTATTTGTTTTGACTGTTTGTATTTCACATGGCAAAGCTATATTTAATAATCTTTATATAAAATCTGTGACATCGTCCATTTACTGTAATTTGACCAAGGAGTGTGGGAACTACCAACCGTCTGACCTATATTTTGTGTTGGTCTCATAATTCTTTTCATAGTCATGTTAGTTAAACTGGTAGAATAGTTGTAAAAGAGAAGGCTTTTAAATGTATTTTCTTACTGGATCCAAACATATGACCAGCAATGTAGGCCATATTAAATGTTTGATTGTTTGTCCCATCTCCGAATTGTTTTACATAAAAGAATCTTACTGTTTGAGCTATTTCCTTGTACGTCATGTTATCCCAGTGTTGTCTTTCTGGTGAATTCTGTACAGATATACCATGCTGTGGTTCTATCCAGCATTCAGTCACAATCTGTAATTCCCCATCAGCTTCAGTTGTCTCCATCTCATCCATATCCTCTGATATCGAACTATAAATAGATTCTTGGTTTCATAATATCTATTATTAGTAACAAAATACAATGATCTGAATATTTGCTTGTTCCTGTCATACCTTATCAACATTAAATATTTAAAAAATCCTTACTTTTATACATTTGATATTTATGCAGCTTTTCAGATTTCACATCAAAACACAATAAACAGCTGCGCCATGAGCGCATGATACGCCAGTCGTCTTGTGTGTGAATTTTTATGCAATAAGCATAAATAGTTTCTGACATACGGCGTGACATGCGAAAACCCCCTTTTTTTTTTACAAAATACTCAATATCTCTAAAATAAAATTTTGAATCAAAACCAAAAAGTATACAGATCTTTAGATTAATATAACTAAGAAGTGTGTAAAATTTTAAGCAGTAATCATAAAATCGTGTTTTGAGATACGGTGCGACATGTGAAAACCCCACTTTTAAAAAAAAAAAAATCAATATCTCAAAAATAAAATTTTGAATCAAAACCAAAAAGTATATAGATCTTTAGATTAATATAACTAAGAAGTGTGTAAAATTTTAAGCAATAATCATAAATCGTTTTTGAAATACGGCACGACATGTGAAAAACCCCTCCCGTTTTTTTTACAAAATACTCAATAACTCAAAAATAAAATTTTGAATCATCACCAAAAAGTATACAGATCTTAAGGTTAATATAACTAAGAAGTGTGTAAAGTTTTAAGCAATAATCATAAACTGTTTTTGAGATACGGCGTGACATGTGAAAAACCCCTCCCCCTTTTTTAACAAAATACTCAATATCTCTAAAATAAAATTTTGAATCATCACCAAAAAGTATACAGATCTTAAGATTAATATAACTAAGAAGTGTGTAAAGTTTTAAGCAATAATCATAAATTGTTTTTGAGATACGGCGCGACATGTGAAAGAAAACACACACCTGTTTTAGTTACTAAGTCCCGTAACTCAAAAAGTTTTAATCTTATTTTCACCAAAAAGTATACAGATCGTTTGACCATCATAAGAAACAACTATGTTAAGTTTCATGAAATTTGGATAAGTCATTCTCAAGTTACGGTGCGACATGTTTATGTTTATGACAGACAGACGGACAGAAGGACAGACAGACAGACAGACGGACGAACACCGGACATTTGTATACCATAATACGTCCCATCAAAAACTGACAGGCGTATAAAAATCTTAGATGATGGATCTCTAAAGCTGTGATGTAAAATTCTTAATTCAAATTTTTCTTTTGAATTAAATAAAGTGTATGTAAAGTTATAATAAAAATAATTCAATTTAGTTTATTTGGTGTCCTTTCCCTTTCAACAACATTTTTTTTTATCAAATCTTAGTTTGGACACTAATAACTCATGTATGGTTGACTCTCCTTCATCATCTCTCTCGCCTTTTTTTAATAATGTTAAAGTTTATCTAGTAAACATGACTTCTGCTTATGCTCATTTAGGGTGAAATTTGAATATCACAAAAAAATAAAAGTTCTGCTGAAAAATTAAGGAAAATACAATATGAAGATATTTTATCAATTCTCACCTATCCAATGTAGTTTTAACATGTGGTGGAAACATAATATACTGGACAACACATATACCTCCATCACTTTGATTCTCCTGTAAAATATATCTCAAATTCAAATAAATCATCATCAAGCAAGAAAACATTTCTCTTTTCTATAATCTACAGAAATTTTTTTTTAAATGGAGACAGATTCTCTTTCAGTATCTCGACCATAAAATTTTAAAATCTAATAAACTCCTGAATACTTATAAAATCATTTTCATTTTACTGTAATAAAATCTAAATAAATCAAACATGACATTCTTGTAGTTTTTTTTGTTTAATTAATACACAAATTTTGATGATCAATACTGAATATGTATGAAGTGTCTTAAATAAATTAATTGAAGAATAACTAATGTGATTATAAAGTAATAGATCTATAACACTTCTTGAATTCATGCCTTTTCATATACTTTATTTTTCCGTGCCTCTTTCTTAATTTTGACCCTTTACACATTGATAAAATCCCAAATAAACTTAATATTGACTTGGAAAGAAACAGTGGTAAAATGTCTGATATTTTTTTTCTTTGATCGTTGAATATAGATTAAATAAGAAAACCATTTTTTCAGCTTTAAATAATACTATCTGTAATTATCTCCCCTGTTAAACGCCTATTTACTTTCCTTGAAAAAATACAATCTGTAATTATCTCCCCTGTTAAACACATATTAACTTCCCTTGAAAAATACTATCTGTAATTATCTCCCCTGTTAAACACCTATTTAATTCCCTTGAAAAAATGCTATCTGTAATTATTATACCTCAGTATGTTTTTTTCTATATAAAAAAGAATAAAATATTTGTTCTATTTCATTCCACAGACTATTTGCCAGTCACTAGTTTCAAAGACTATTACCCATGTCAATAGTTTTATGAACATATTTCCCTGACTTTTTCATACTAATTTTTCATTGGACACCAATGACGTCATTGACTATTCTGCTTGGATTTGTGTGCTTGGCAACGTTAAACTCTGAGATATCGAAAACAGTAAAATCTGTTTGTGTCACCACACAGGCCAATAAAACCTGATAGTTCATCTTGTGCATGTTTATGTGACTAATTTTTTTCCAGGTGATGTATGTAGGCTTTTTAGAAAGATGTTTTGTTCGGTATAATAAACACTTAATGACTAGTTATGAGGGTAATAGCAAGTTTGTAGTCCCTTTGATAAGAACTTTTGCCCTAGGCTTCGCCTCAATCAATAGTTGGTATCTCAGAGACAACAAAAGGTGTATATTATCTCCCCTGTTAAACACTTATTTACTTCCCTTGAAATATACTATTTGTTATTATCTCCCCTGTTAAACACCTAGTTACTTCCCTTGAAATATAAGTACAAATCCACTCAAATAGCTCTTCCATTTTTGCCTAGGAATTCAACGAATAGACCAAATAGATTTGTTTGGGTAATGAAAAGACCAATGATGTCAATTCATCACTCCACCATAATACTACAGTTATAAAGTAAGGTGACATCGTCACTTTCCCTTGCCTCATTCACAGTTCATCTCTCAAAGGGTATATGATTTTCATTAATATTTCTTGCTAGTTAAATAAGTCTTACATTCAAGTTTATAACTTTCAGTAGAGTATTTAATTTTCTACTTTTGCAAGTTGACATGAGTGAATCTTGTGTTTAAAATTTCAAAATCACTGTTTCCATTCTTCAAATAATTTTTTTTTTTATAAATATCAGTAATACATTAAACATTAAACAGGTTATCTATGCTTCATTGAGTACAATAGATTCTGAAAATCATTTCTACAAAATGGATACTAACCTTCATGTTGACCTCTAAAACCATATTTACAATGCCTGAATTACTGGAGGCAAAATGGAAACCTTCTTGAAGTCGGATTCTGAAAATGCAAAGTTATTCTGGTCAATAAAATAGCATGACTTTCTCACTATAAACATTTATCTTTTATAGAATTATTTCAATGAAGTAATGTACAGTTTTACCTTAGCTGATTAATAGTTGATTAAATTATCATTAACTGCCAGGTAATAAAGCATTAGTCACAATATTTCTTCATTGGAATTGTGTGCCCATTTAATTTTTCTACAAATATTCCTAAAGATATAAACATTTGAAATGGATTTAGGCCTTTTTTCATTATAGTTCACAAGTTATGACCATATCACTTTAATATAATATACAGAGTGACTTTTTTTTTTTAATAATTTGCATTTAGTCAATGCTTTTTGAGCCTTATGAAATATCTATTCAATTCATATATTTACATATAAGTAAAATTCTAAACCAATTTAATATAAAATTAAGTTATCTATCATTGTTTAAAAACACCTACACAGCCTGCATACTTTTTTTTTTAAACATCACTTGCCAATGAAGTTCTAGGAGTATTAATAATAACACTTTATTGAGACTAGAAGGATCAGTCACATGGTTGCCTATATACCAATCAATTATTGAGATTCAATAAAGCATGGATATAAAGTAAATAAGATGGCATATTGAAAATCAAATAAGCTATAAAATATCTTTCTCACATATCAGATGGAATTTTAAATGTCATCTCATCCATCTGATAAATATTAGCATGGTTTTCATGCAAATAAAAAAAATTATTTTCATATCAAACATACTTAGATAAAGTTGACAAGATTTTCCCTATGGCCTGCATACTGATGTCAACTTTTCCACGCTTGACTGACCAGATCCATCTCTGGTGATGTAAATACCTAGACAGTGTATTGAATGCATTAGCTCTGGTAGCTTTAGTGACAATCTGTTGGTCTGTCATGGAATGGCTCTTGATGTATTTGGAGGGATCTTCTAATTCTGTCATATCTGATGGTTTTCTTTCATAACTAAAATGTATGATACAAATAATGTATGAAAATACAGTTGGATTTAATGCCACTTAAGATGTTCTTATAGGCTAGTCATCACAAAAGTTTATCTTCAATAAAAAAATGCAAAAATATAATGAAAGAATAAGTTAATGAACCTTTGTAAGCAGGAATGCACACACTAACTTAACATTTCTAGAAGGCAACAAAAGAGGCTGAAAAAGGAAAACTTTTCTATCCAAAGTAAGGTTTTTGAATTTTCATCCAGAAACCTCTTTCTGCACAAATTGCAGACTATCTTTAGTATCTGTAACCTTAAAAGTGTTAAACTCTAAATGAATATGAATCTTTTTTCAATGCATATTACTATATGCCTCAGTGTGTTTTCAATCCAAAATAGATGTTGACTTTATGTTCATTAGAGTTGACCCCTAATATCAAATGTTTCCTTTTATATAAGTTGTGTTGTAATTTTAAATAAAGGTTCTTTAGTCCCCCTTTCTGCACCAATTTGAGTTATTTCATAGTACAGTCGACTCCACTTAATTGCATACCGCTTAATAGCATAATTCGGTTAATTGCATAATTTTCTCCTGCACAAAACCATTTCCCATTCATCTAATGTTAAATTGTCCGGTTATATGCATAGCTCTGCAAGTGGCCTTTCGGTTAATTGCATACAAAATAATCGCCAGCTAGATATGTTTAGTTAAAACTGACGAGATTTTTGAACGGAAACGGCAATTTGGTGAGTATATTTTTCTTGAATGCATCATTATTTTCTTTATTATTTCACATTTACTTTTGTGTTATTATAATAAAGTTTTAAAACAGTTTCTTTCGTGTTTATATGATGGAATTTGGTTATAAAATAAGCCTCGATGTGTACACAGGTAAAGTTTCCCATGTTCTATTTTAAGCCTCTAGGTCATAAAAATGTCAAACAGGTAATTGTTGTAAAAACACTACAATTCTATCTCAAAAGGTGTTAATTATTGATTGTATTTCAAACATTAACCATAGATTACATTTGGGGTGAATTTTAAAAACAATAATGCCTGCTAATTATTGATCATTATCCAATGTGTACTCTCGTAATTCGGCTTGGGGTGTTCTGCATTTATGTTAAATATTACAGGGCATTTCTCTATGGTTGAAGAATTTTTTACATCAATCATTTATTTTTGATATTTTTTTAAAAGAACATTTACTTCTAAATATTATATTTTCTCACTTTCAACACTCGTGTCCAGCAAATAACCCGTACAGGGCCCCATTACCTGTTTACTGCTTTGCATATATACGAAACTAACGAGGTTAAAAAAACAGTGTTACATCACTGTGTAGGCGATAAATACCGCATATCAAAGGCAGTTCATTACACATTTATTGTTCAAAAATGATTATAAACTGTGAAGTATTATTAAACAGTTTATTTTAACCAAAGCGAAACAATGTACATTGTACATACGGGTCATAGAAACAAATCTATTTTTAGAACAATTTGTTCTATTTTCGTATCCCAGGTAAAGAAAACGTCGGTACGCAGATAAACTAAAACAAAATGTGTTTATAAACTTTATTGAAAGAATACAAAATACAATAACATGTATGACACTAGACATATAACTTTTATTAGAATAAATCAATATTCAATATGTTGTAAGTGGATTATGGACGTTCATCTTTCTTCAGGAATTTTCTTTACTGATCTGTACTATCAATGTTATTTGACTCCGTAATTTGGCCTTTCGGATATAAGCATACTCCGCTTAAGTGCATAATTTTGTCTGACAAATAGGCTATGCAAATAACCGGAATCGACTGTATCTGTAACCTTAACCTTCAAAATATTGACCTCAAAATTAATTATAAGAGTGACAAGTATAATGATAAAAATTGCCTTTTGGGCCAGGTGAGCTAAAAATACAAGCAAGTTTAATTCTAATTTAAAAGTGCAAGATTAAGATTTTGTTGACAGGCTTAAATAAATATAGTATAAATAAATACAGATTTTGAGAAAACAATTACCTGATAAGGATTTGTTCTACAGGTTTTGTCAGTAAAATACAACAATTCTTTTCTGATCTCTCTAACTGTAATGGTGGTCGATGTTCTATCACTGCTGGCTTTGCATCACTTTGTCCAGCACGATGTTTCTTGCTGTCCACTTTCTGTGGGGCTCTGTGAGGGAACTTTAGATTTCTGAGTTTCTCTTTCAGTTCACCAAGTGTTTTGTATCTATTGCGCCCTGAAGTTCCAGCCAGAAAAGCACATCTCAGTACAATACAAGGTGGTTTTGATATAGATCGCAATAACAGGAAGGATGTTGGTTTCTCTGGATCCCTGGGTAAAATATTAAAATTAAAGACTTTCACTGCATCTTTTGTTAACTTATTAACAACTAAGAAAATGGGAGTCATAATACAAATTATTCCTATATTTACATCTATGGCATTCCTATTCCTTGTCATATATTACTTCACACTAGAGGGAGTTCATTTCTACTTTTTAATATAGCCTTTTAGGAAAGCAATTGGCATCAGATTTATTTTTTTTGCTTTATAATAACTTAATAATAAGTTTTCGAACGGAAAATTTCAACTCAATATTTTTCTTTCAGAGAGCAAATTTGTATTTCATTACTCAATTAAGAAAATTATCTATCACACTCAATTCTAAAATTTAATATTGAACAATACATTGGACAAATATCTTTCTTATAATAATAGGAACAATGTTTCGGACTGTCTTCACTGTTGTTAGTTTGTAGCATTATGTCCATACAAACTATTTAATTACAGAAGAAACTATCAAAATTGGTGTCTCTCCTGCTTCTATTAATTTTGACCTTTCAATTTGGTATAAAAATTATCTCCCATGTAACTAGTCAAGGTATGCTTCATGCCTTGTATAGTTTATATAATTTGAAACAGTATATTTAACAGAAACAATACAAACTTTCCCAGTAATTTAACATAAGACAATCCCTCTATCAGTATGAATGAAGACCACTCTCTGAGTAGAGTTGTAATAGTAGCGAATGCCTGTCTACACTGTATAATATTAAATCTGCCTGTAGTATGAGGGATCTGTAGACATTTAGGTAGAGGAACATCATGTTCTAATACCATCTCTATTCTATGACTGTGCATCCATTTCTGCCTGTTTTGAAAAAAAACAAAAAGTAGAAACAAAAATAACAAACTCCAAGGTAAATTCAAAAAGGGAAAGTGCATTTTTACCTGTAATGAATTTATTCAATGTATATAAACTGTCAACAGCTATATGACATGATTAAACTATTCACTGAAAAATTAAAAATAAAAACACATTTGGAATTAAATAATATTTCTTAATACAAAATATGTAAAAGGAATTCCTTTATCAAACTATTGTTTAAGAGTTCATGCAAGTGTTAACTGCTAATGGCTTATAAGGACTCATTACAGTAATGTATATTAATATTAACAAGAGTGCACACGCTGAAATGTCTCGCCTTTTTTACTAATCATTGATATTATGTTGAAAGTCCTAAATATAAAGCTTTACTACAACTATCACATAAACTTAACATGATCCAAGAAAATGAGGTCAAGGTCATATAAACCAAATGAGAAATACATGTACACCTTACAATCATTCAATACACTAAATATAGTTGACCTATTGCTCATAGTTTTTAAGAAACAGACTTAACCAAGAAAACTAAACACTGACCAATGGAAATGAGTTCAAGGTCAGATGAATCATGCCAGGCAGACATGTACACCTTACAATCATTCCATACACCAAATATAGTAGACCTATTGCATACAGTACAAGAAAAACAGACCAAAACACAAAAACTTAACTTTAAACACTGAAACATGAAAATGAGGTCAAGGTCAGATAACACCTGCGAGACTGACATGTACATCATAAAATATTTCCATACACCAAATATAGTTGACCTATTGCATATAGTATTTGAAAAAAAGACCAAAACTCAAAAACTTAACTTTGACCACTGAACCATGAAAATGAGGTCAAAGTCATATGACACCTGCCAGTTGCACATGTACACCTTACAATCATTCAATACACCAAATATAGTAGACCTATTGCATACAGTAAAAGAAAAACAGACCAAAACACAAAAACTTAACTATAAACACTGAACCATGAAAATGAGGTCAAGGTCAGATAACAACTGCCAGTTGGACATGTACACCTTACAATACTTCCATACACCATATATACTAGACCTATTGCTTATAGTATCCAAGATATGGACTTGACCACAAAAACTTAACCTTGTTCACTGATCCATGAAATGAGGTTGAGGTCAAGTGAAGACTGTCTGACGGGCACGAGGACCTTACAAGGTACGCACATACCAAACATAGTTATCCTATTACTCATAATAAGAGAGAAATTAACATTACAAAAAATCTTAACTTTTTTTCAAGTAGTCACTTAACCATGAAAATGAGGTCAAGGACAGTAGACATGTGACAGACCGAAACTTCGTAACATAAGGCATCTATATACAAAGTATGAAGCATCCAGGTCTTTCACCTTCTAAAATATAAAGCTTTTAAGAAGTTAGTTAACACCGCTGCCGCCGGATAAGTATCCCTATGTCGAGCTTTCTGCGACAAAAATGGCAGGCTTGACAAAAATTATGCCATCTATGTGGTCTGACTTTATAATTTATGGCATGTAAGATGATAAATAATCATACACAGTATCAACACTGAACTCAAAATAGACCTCAAGATACAGAGTGAACATACTGAGTCTACAATGTTAAGTTTGTCAACAAGACATTCAAGCTTAGGATATCAACTTTGAATTGCTTGCTTAACACCTTCTGATATTGGCAATCAAATCCACAACAAATTCAAAACAGAGAGCACGACACACAGCAGATACAATATGTGAAAGACAAACTGGCAACCTAATTACTATAAGGCTCCAACCGAAGGTAGGCTAAATAAAACATACCAAATTTTTATATCTAAATTAACAACAGGGTTCCAGAATGAAGCAAACTGATTTAAAGCTGTATCCCTGAAAAATAAAGAGAATCATTTCAATTAATGCTTTCTATGATACTTAACTCTTTATATAGGCAATCGATCATTTATAACACATATCCTGCACACATTTAGTTTCACATTAATTTGTTTTTTCAAATACTGTATATGTTGCTTCTGTAAACTTCATGATATTTGTCTTATATATTTAAATGAAATGATATGTGAGGTAAGCATCAAAAAGACCCAATAACACACAACATTTAAAAGTCAGCAATATTGTGTAGATGAAATAATGATTTAGTATAATCTACACCCAGCTTAGTTTTGTGCATATGATTATCCAAGACATTCATACTGGATATAAAACTTACGTTTACTATGATAAAAGGTATATAAAAAACATACTTAGTATTGTGTTGACTGTTGAGTTCTGGATTATAAGAACTTGGAGGCAAAACAAAAACTGGAATTCCATTAGCAATACTGCTGATTAATTTATAATGGACTGGGCTGGAACCAAAGGACTGTAGATGTACCAATAGCTGATCAGCTTGACATAAACTGAAAAAATTTTCATGTCTATATTGTATATCATAACAATCATCATTATATCATTATAGCTGGTTAAAATGTTCCAAAAGGTGTAATACCACCAAATCATAGTACGTCACATACGGTTTCTTACGAAAAAGGGTTGAAAAAACAAATCCCTTGAATTTGACAGTTGTACAAAATTAACCCTGCATTTCATTGCAGAAAAAAAAATCTGAGTCATAAACATATGTCTTTGGTGTTTCAAAGCACCATACTTTTTTTATTTGGTGTTTCTATAAAATATTTCGAAAACTTCAGGTATCATGGTTACTTAAGATTGTAAACAGGAAAAAAAGGGGTGAAAATTTGATTGGTTGACTTCCAGTGATGATTATTATCTTATATGCAATGAAATGTTATGTGAAATTTTTTCTGTAGTACTGTACAGGATAAAACAAGTACCAATTTAACAAAGACTAATAGGGGAAAATCAATGGTGGTATTACTCCACAATTAACATATTTTTAAAGGGAACATACCAGGTGAAATGTAGTGTATTTTACATCTACTATTTTTCATATTTATTTTAACTTATTCAGGTGTTTCTTTCTTTTAACAAGATCAGTAAATCACATTTCTACATAATGGTAATTGACAATTGGAAATCATTACCATGGAAACCATGAATGAGAACAAAAAAAGATGAGTACTAGCAAGAAAACTGACCTAAAGAGGTCTCTAAACACAATAGCTCAAATGGAGCTTTCATTAGTTGAAGGCACAACAATTATGTGTATCAGTGGGAAAAAATATGACAAAGAGTTCCGGGTAGTTAATGCCAAAACACATAGTTAACATCCTCTGGTTCCTTCAGGGACCTTCTTCAGGGGCAGAATGATGTATTAAAAGTGGCACACTTAATTCATTTTCCTGTCTTTGAAGAAGGTCCATGAAGCTCAGAAACCAGTCAGGCTATGAATTATCACACGGTGCGCCTAATTATGTGTTTTGGCATTCCCTACTCTTTATAAAATAAATCATATGTTCCAAGTTTAACATCAAGTTGTAAAGTAAACTTTAACATTGGATTAGTGCCTTTTAACTAAAATTTTTAACTGAAGTGTTGTAGAACTATTAATATAATTATGTCAAATGACATCAAAATCTTCAAAATCAAATCTATTTTGTGTTTCTTAAATATTGTTTGTGTGTTTTTCTTTTTTCTATCTTTTTTTTTAAAATCTGTCAGAGGCTTTTATCAAATCATACTTTCATCCTCCAAAAATCTCCTCTATCTTTTCATTATTATAGAATGATTAGTTATAATTTCAAAAATTGAAAGGAATATATATATAAATAAAAGAAGATTGTGTCGTAGGACGCCAATGCCCCTACTCAAGCTTTGATTTTTCCTAGTTAAAAAGGGACATAACTCTAGAATTGTAAGTAACTCACTGTCCAATATCGAACTCTGTCCGCGATGATTGGTTCTTAGCATTGTGTATGAGTCTCATAAAATTGGATGAGAAAAACTTAAATGAGACTGTTGAAATGAAAATGGAATGGACATAAAGACGAAAGGACAGAAAGATGGAAGGATGGATGGTCACGGGTAACACTTAATTCCCCCTTTTTGCCTACGATTGGGCTTAAATATACAAAAGACTACTTGTTAAAACATTGGTACTATAAACTTAAGTATATTGTCAATTTTCAAATTCTTTTTTTATTGTATTCTGATTTGCTGGTATTGATTGGGTATAACTCCACAGCACTCTAAATATACTGTGTGGTAATCACCATACACAAGACTCACCTTTGCAATGCCATCCAGAAGTTTTTAACATTTGTAGTTCTCAATACTCCTCTTCGCGTAGAACAAGTGATATCATGTAGGAAATCGTAACTCCCTTCTATCATTATCTCTACCTGAGTTTGTCTCCTGAAACAAGATATCGCCAAGTTATTACAATCAATGGATAACCTCTTTTATGTTAAAAACAAAATATAACTTCTTATACAGGTAAGCACTGTATAATGTATTACGTTGTGGGAAGTTGTCTTACACTAAAGTCTTTTATAATGTTGTGCAGTATTTACACCGTTGAATATACTCTGGTTGAAAAGCATTGTATATAATCAGAGATTCTGTTGAGTCTATTTAAAAAAGATAAAAGATGACCACTTATTCACATTAATTTTATGGAAAAAAAAATGAAACAACTTACATTCCTTTCAAAAAGTAAAAAAAATTCAAAAATAATTCATATGGGCTTGAATTTATACCGATTTTACCATGGGTTGGCCTTTTATGCCAAATATTTTACCATCAGCCATAGCAAGGGGTAAAATATTGGCATAAAGAGCAAACCAGTGGTAAAATCAGTATAAATGCAAGCCCCTTTGAATTATTTCTATTCTAATATGATAAATAAAGCCATCAATTTGGATTGAAGTGCTCAAGGTGAGGGCAAATTTTGGATGGTCTTGTAAGTAAGCACACTATTAATATTGACGTAAAAGACAAAGAAACTAAATTAGTGACATGCTTAAATGATTTACAATAACATACTTAGACAGGTTTGGACAAGGTTTAATGATTAACTTATTTTTATTTAAGAAAATTGGAATGATTAACTTACTTTTATTTAAGAAAATTGGAATGATTAACTTACTTTTATTTAAGAAAATTGGAATGATTAACTTACTTTTATTTAAGAAAATTGGCATTCAACAAATACTTATCATTGTTTGTTTAAGTTTCCTTGTTTTGATGACTTTCAGTTTCACATTTGTGCATTTTCCCATAGAATGCTTATACTCTAACGTCATTGTTTAATGATGTCATTTACCCTGATTGACTTCGGGTAACTCACTCATAAAAATTCGTAAGGGTTCTGCGGAACCCAGTGTCTCGCCTACTTTTGCTGTTAATCGCAGGCTCAACAAAAATGAGGAAAAAAATAAATAAAAATATTCCTCTCTATACTATCTTTTGACTGTAAGTAGCTTCTGTCCAAGTTTGGTAAAAATCCAGGATAGTTTATGAATCTAATAAATGTTTTAAAAACTTAAACTGCAGACTGTATGTAATGTTAACTGGAAGAAAAACAAAGTCCATTTATAAGTAAAATACGGAAAAAATCAAACAAAATTTTAACAAAATTTCCTTCTAGATACTAGCTTTTAATCATAAACAAGCTTCTGTCCAAGTTTGGTACAAATCCAGGATAAGTTTAAGAAAGTTGTTAAAATTTTAAAAACTTTAACCACTGAGTGAATGTAATGTTAACTGGCAGAAAAACTAAGTCCATTTATAAGTAAAATACGGAAAAAATGGATTTTTTTTTTCAAAATTTACTTTTGAATATTATCTTATGATCATAAACAAGCTTCTGTCCAAGTTTGGTAGAAATCCAGGATAGTTTAAGAAAGTTATTAAAATTTCAAAAACTTTAACCACAGAGTGAATATTTGTGGATGCCGCCGACAACAACGACGACGACGGAATGTAGGATCGCTATGTCTCGCTTTTTTGACAAAAGTCAAAGGCTCGACAAAAAGCATACGACGTGAGAGTATGATGTGAAGAACCCAAACAAATTGCGACGTTGCCGATCAGCTGACATACAACATATATATATATATATATACTTTACCACTGGTGTGTACTAAAGTGTTTGAAGAACATCATATTAGAATATCTTTTATATTCCATTAAATTATTGTTCTCCATTAAATATATCATTTGAAATGCATCTTTGATCCAAAGGTATAATTAATATAAAGAGTAATGTAACATTGCCTTCTCTTTTACTATGAACTATTTGAACCATACATAGCCTTACTAACTTTGAAGGATCTAATGGCCATGAGGCTGTTGCATAATATTCTATTTTAGCATACTCTCTCCATGGTAACACTAATCTCACTTCAATCTGTGTACCTCCTACAAAGACAAAGTTATGTAACATAAATGGGGAATATGTTCATGGGACACAGATGATGCCCCTGCATATAACGTTATAAAGGAACATAACTCAAGAACTGTAAAAGTGACGCCACCCAAATTCAAACTTGATCTGTGTTTTGTAGTAATAAGCATTGTGTATAAGATTCATAACATTTGGTTGATGCAAACTTAAGTTAGAGAACGGAAACGAAAAATTCAGCAATTTTTCCTATTGTAAAGGGGAACAACTCTTGAAAGGCATATAAGTGATGCCACCCAAATTCAAATTTGATCTGTGTTTTATAGTAATAAGCATTGTGTATAAGATTCATAACATTTGGTTGATGCAAACTTAAGTTAGAGAACTGAAACGAAAAATTCAGCAATTTTTCCTATTGTAAAGGGGAACAACTCTTGAAAGGCATAAGTGATGCCACCCAAATTCAAACTTGATCTGTGTTTTGTAGTAATAAGCATTGTGTATAAGATTCATAACATTTGGTTGATGCAAACTTAAGTTGGAGAACGGAAACGAAAAATTCAGCAATTTTTCCTATTGTAAAGGGGAACAACTCTTGAAAGGCATAAGTGATGACAACCAAATTCAAACTTGATCTGTGTTTTGTTGTAATAAGCATTGTATATAAGATTCATAACATTTGGTTGATGCAAACTTAAGTTAGAGAACGGAAACGAAAAATTCAGCAATTTTTCCTATTGTAAAGGGGAACAACTCTTGAAAGGCATAAGTGATGACAACCAAATTCAAACTTGATCTGTGTTTTGTTGTAATAAGCATTGTGTATAAGTTTCATAACATTTGGTTGAGGCAAACTAAAGTTAGAGAACGGAAACAAATTTTGGGACATACAGACGGACAAGGGTAAAACTTAATGCTCCCTCCAATACGGCAGGGGCATAATAAAAAGATAAATAAGCTTTGAAAAATGTTGCATATGACCTTCAAACTATTCATCAAAATGTTTCAACTACAGACATTTTACAAATAAAAACAGCAGATACCTTTGGTTGTTTAGGGTTGTTAGATTGCCCTGTCATTAACATATACCCCACATGTCTTATTCATATTTAAATCCACTAACAAAAAACCTATTCCAGTTTTAGGATGTAATAGAATGACAATCTTTTCCTCTCAAGAAATCCTAATATTGTGGTTGTGCTTGCCCTGAAATCCTTGAATTGTTTCAATTACAAAGTCCTACATATATTACCACAAAATAGTACATCTGTCATTTAACTAGAGGCTCTCAAGAGCCTGTGTCGCTCACCTGTATCTACTGTGGTTTTGGAATTCATGTTTAATAAGGTTAAAATCATAATAAATAGTATAAGATAGCCTAATAATGAACAAGGCCAAGTTTGGTTTAATTTGGCCCAATAATTAAATTAAAAGCAGAAGGTTTTTGAAAAAAGTTTACAAAAATTACCAAAAAATTGCAGAAAATGACTTTAAAGGACAATAACCCCAATAAGATGTCGATTGACGATTTTGGTCATGTTGACTTATTTGTAGATCTTACTTTGCTGAACATTATTGCTGTTTACAGTTTCTCCCTATCTAAAATAATATTCAAAATAACCAAAAACTGCAAAATTTCCTTAAAATTACCAATTAAGGCAGCAACCCAACAACGGATTGTCTGATTTGTCAGAAAATTTAATGGGCAGATAGATCTAAACCTGATGAAGTTTTTACCCCATGTCAGATTTGCTATAAATGCTTTAGTTTCAGAGATATAAGCCAAAAACTGTATTTTACCCCTATGTTCTATTTTGAGCCATGTTGGCCATGTTGGTTGGAAGGCGGGGTCATTGGACACATTTTTAAAACTAGATACCCTAATGATGATTGTGGTCAAGTTTGGTAAAATTTGTCTCAGTAGTTTCAGAGGAGAAGATTTTTGTAAAAGATTACAAATATTTACGAAAAATTGTTAAAATTGACTTTAAAGGGCAATAACTCCTTAAGGGGTCAATTGACAATTTTGACAACTTATTTGTAGATCTTACTTTGCTGAACATTATTGCTGTTTACAGTTTATCTCTATCTATAATAATATTCAAGATAATAACCAAAAACTGCAATTTTCCTTAAAATTACCAATTCAGGGGCAGCAACACAACAACAGGTTGTCTGATTCATCTGAAAATTTCAGTGCAGATAGATCTTAACCTGATGAACATTTTTACCCCAGTCAGATTTGCTCTAAATGCTTTAGTTTCAGAGATAAAAGCCAAAAACTGCATTTTACCCCTATGTTCTATTTTTAGCCATGTCAGCTATGTTGGTTGGCAGGCAGGCTCATCGGACACATTTTTTAAACAAGATACCCTAATGATGATTGTGGCCAAGTTTGGTAAAATTTGTCTCAGTAGTTTCAGAGGAGAAGATTTTTGTAAAAGTTAACGACGATGGACGACGGACAACAGACGCCAAGTGATGAGAAAAGCTCACTTGGCCCTTTGGACCAGATGAGCTAAAAAAGCAATACCTTTAGTTATTGAGACATCTTTAATTGTGTAGCCCTCTCGTAGTCGCACAGATAACACACTATTTAATGTAGTGTTCAATTTCATGTCCTTGTGTTTCTTCCTGATAATGGGGTTCACCACACTACTTGGACCTACTTTTATTGGATGGGCTAGGATCCTACAAAAGTATAAAAGTATATGAGAATGCTGTTCACAATTATGTCACTTTAATATATATCATAGGAACTGAACTATGTACCAGTAATTCTGGAACTTTATTAAAAATGCTGCACCTACTCCATATCTTCTTGCAACTGGTCAATTCTTTGAAATTAAACCTGATCTAATGATTTATCTAAGCAATTTTGTTTTTAGAAACAACCAGAATTTGAAATAAGAAACAATTCAAATAGAACTAATCAGTCGTAAGAAAATATCTACTATGATGAGAAATTTTTCGAAATTTTTATATGTAGAACTGAAATAATCAAATGTTAATCACAAAAAGAGAGTTGACTTAAATATTCCCAAAATTGTATACATTTAAATATTCTATCAGGGAACTGATAACTTATAATGCAGAAAGAGATGCTTTTTCTTGAAACTTAAAAACTTGACTATCTTATAACACAGCTAAAAAAATTACCAGCAGAACAAGTTACTAAACAAATATTCATTAAGTATTCCTTTCTAGTCACCTCCATCAATCCTAGTCTTGGTACTGAACATGGACTTCAATTAGTATAATTAGAGCGAAGTGAGAATAAAGTGTATCCCTATAATAAACATTCATTCTGAAATAAGTTATAAGTCAGCTTAGATGGGACCAAAACAGTGGTTTACTTGTTTATCAAGGCTGTAGGATGTACTGGGGTCTGCTGTTGTCCATGTGCCAAATCATATCTGAAGCCCTCTAATCCTTTTTGGAAACTCCATTGTAACAGGGCCTTATGGTAAACATTGGGTTGCTGGGTATTATCTTTAGTCTGAAATAAATAGGTTTTTATTCAAACTTCAATTAGTTTACAGTTTTGTGGTAATAAGAATTGTGTATAAGTTTCATAACATTTGGTTGAGGCAAACTTAAGTTTGAGAACGGAAACTAAATTTTTCATTTGTAAAGGGGCATGACTCTAGAACGGTAAAAGTGACGCCACCAAAATTCAAACTTGATCTGTGTTTTTTGGTAATAAGCATTGTGTATAAGTTTCATAACATTTGGTTGAGACAAACTTAAGATAGAGAACGGAAACCGAAAATTCATCAATTTTTCCATTATAAAGGAGCATAACTAAAGAACGGTAACAGTAACGCCACCCAATTTTAATCTTGATCTGTGTTTTGTGGTAATAAGGATTGTGTATAAGTTTCATAACATTTGGTTGAGGCAAACTAAAGTAAGAAAACGGAAACGAAAAATTCAGCAAATTCTATGTTTATAAAGGGGCATAACTCATGAACGGTGAAAGTGATGCCTCCCAATTTCAAACTTGATCTGTGTTTTGTGGTAATAAGCATTGTGTATAAGTTTTGGTAAAAAGTAGTTAAACCCAGCCACAGGTTCATTCATGTGCCTGTCTAAAGTCATCGCCCTTGTCAGTTGTTGTCTTTAGTTATAATCTAAGTTCATTCTCCTGGAGTTTGACAGATCTTTGTTTCTATTTTAAATATTACAGATTTTCTAGATTCTAGGCAATTTTTTGCTTGCTATATTGTCTAGAAACTTGTCTATTGTTAAAGTCTGTATTTTGACGTCTAGGGATCTTTTGGTTTTCTTGTGTTGCTTGTTTACTGTCTTTTAATTGGTATGTAATTCTTACTAGATCTGGGCATGAAGAAAAGTAGGCTCCAAATGTAGCTGTTGATATGAATTGAAGTAATTCTACATGTGGTATATGTCCAAACTGAGCACGTGCACAATATGTGTCACCCATCTTCAGGAATGAGCAGGCAATAGTACTGTTCCTTAACTGTGTCATCAGTGCATCAAATCTGTTTGAATCTGTCACCGTGACTCCCAAACTACCATCTGTTACAACACATATACCTGAAACAATACTTATATCATTTATATTTTTCTACAAAAAGCCACAAAGCAATCACCAAAAGTCAAAATTTTCTAATTTTGTTTTCTTTAATTCTGGAACAAAAAATCCTAAAACTCACAAAATAAAATGGGAGCTTCATTTCAAAATTGTTCACAAAACTCTTTCGAAATCCTTAACAGCGAAACTTAAGTTACTGCATAAAGCTAAAAGATTTTCTGTCATTTTGACCATTTTACATAACTCTGTAATATGAAATCAGAAAATCTTCAAAATTCACAAGGAGATTTATTTCTGCACTCCCAACATTGCGTATAAGAATAATGAAAATCAGTAAAACAGAAAACTTTTTTGTACAGAATTGCCTAAATAAATAACCCTAAAACAAGAATGTGTCCATAGTACACGGATGCCCCATATGCACTATCATTTTCTATGTTCAGTGAACCGTGAAATTGGGGTCAAAACTCTAATTTGGCATTAAAATTAGAAAGATCATATCATAGAGAACATGTGTACTAAGTTTCAAGTTGATTGGACTTCAACTTCATCAAAAACTACCTTGACCAAAAACTTTAACCTAAAGCAGGACAGATGGACGGACAGACGAACGAACGGACGCACAGACCGAAAAACATAATGGCTCTCTACTATTGTAGGTGGGGCATAAAAAGTATAAATGCAAATTTAATGTTTTAACTTGTGCAAGTATTTTTCTATTTTAGTAAAAGCTTAAGTTCAGAGTATAACTGTCTAAAGGAATTTAAGATATTTACTATTCATACAGAGTATTTCTGTCAAACTTTTGAACTAGAATATTCTAGCTGGTAAGAGCTGAATTTTATAGTACCCCTGTCAAAGAAATTTTTATTTAACTACACTAGAAATTACGATAAAAACTGTCAAAGAGAAGTTTAAAATTTTAGCCAGCACTAAAATTTTCTAGCTAATTAGAGCTGAAGTTTAAAGTACCCTAGTTGCCTAAAGGAATTTATAATACTTACCTGCACTAGAATTTTCTGGTAGAAGTTGCAGTGCAAAATATCCTTGTCTAAGAAGATTTATAATTCCAGCCTCTGGGTTCATGGGAATGTTAAAACTATGTTGTCCACAAACAGTTTCTCCATCTGACATTTCTGTTAAATCTTCAGTCTAAAAGGTAAACATATATCATTGACTGATCACATATACTTTTCTTTATCTAATCATGTAATTTTTCATTTTTAAATTTGTTGTGAACATAACATACTGAATAAATTTTCAACATTTTAACAGAAAATTTAAGTATGCAAAAAATTTATAAAAATAAATTTGTCCTCTGTACATACTTTTCTGCAAAAATTCCACACCATTTGAATAAAAGCACCATAGTTTTACTATAAAGTTAAGCTTCACATTGTTGTCATTGTCTTTTGATGTATTTTAGGATTTGATGTTGATCTTGAATCGTTGTTCATGTCCATTTGTTAAATCTAGTTACAACTTGCACAGACTTAGAACAATTTAGAACTTGACATACGGTGTAGTTACTTGCCAATTGTTGAAGACCATATGAAAATATCTATATGTTTATTTTTTGTTCATGGTTTTTAGGTTTATATGGCATTGAAACTTTTGATATATTTTCTTTTTATAAAAATAAAAACAAAATAACTGACTGTAAATTAGAACAGTATAGCAATAACTTTTACTACCATATACCATAAAACATATAAAATATTTATTTCTACATGCTAAAACCATTGATATAAAGACATTCAATGATTAAAATGACTTCTATGTTTACAAACACCTTTATATTAAAAGTAATAGTGTCTTTAAAATTTTCACCAATGGTTGGTTATCATCTCTGACAATAGTATCATAATCCATTTATTTAGTATCATACAAGAATGACTTACAATCATTGGTTGTAATTGTAATTTAGAAAACTCTGATGCCAAATTTTGTTCAAAGCTGTCATATCTTTGTTTCATCATGGCTAGAAAGTCTTCAACATTTCCTTTAAGAACACGGATACCTTGGGCTAAAACCTGTAATGATAATTCAGTCAAAATTTGCCATTTTTAGTGTTTTAACAAAATGTGTTCTTTAAAATGAAATAATTTTATGTACATAGTATATTCTACATAGTTTTATATTTACACCTATGTGAGGGAACTATTTTGTTTTAAATATGTACTACTTTCCAGTATGTTTTTTTTTTACCGGTCTTGATATGGTGGTGTTACATCTTTCAAAGTCTATCTGAATCATTTTACATAGAAGTTAGCTCAAACCGGTGCTAGGCCAGCTAGGGGCGGTCATAAACTTGCAGTGAGGTGAGAGTGAATCAGTGAAAGCACTGTTCCTTTGCTTTTTGTGTGTTTTTTTGCTGTGCATGTACTGATTTTGTGTCATGGATGGCTACCTCATATCCTTTGTTTTTCTATAATATTTTTTAAAGCACAAAGCAGTATAAATAATAGTTTGATAACATCACCAGCAAAACATTTTAAGAAATTGATGTGACATTCCTTTTATTTAGAATGTCTACTATGAAATTGCTCTTAGTTCTTGTCTATATATAAAGGCAACGAATTGGAATTTTTTCAAAAGTTTTTATAAGATATAATGGAAATAGAGCTTTTAATAACTGTAGAATATCTGTTATAGATACAGAAATGGAGCCATCTAAGGCAACATTATGATATTATCACCTTAGCTGACTCAAAAGCTGCAGTAAAATGTACCAATCAAAATAAAATCACTCAGAAATAAAATACATGAATAGGTCAAGGTGACAATAATTTGAACCTTCATTACATTCAAAGATGTGTCTGTCAACAAAAATCTATCCACTAAGATTTGTAAGAGATTTGTTTTGCACAGAAAGCCATTTAATGACTTAATGAGCGATATAAAGTTTAAGTGTCCTGATCCTCATATTAACATACATTACTTTCTAGGATGTGTCCAGCAATAAAATCATGATCTTAAAGTAAAACTTAAAGTTACACATAAATTCTTTTTGACATACTTATCTAACATGTGATTTTCCCTCTTCACTAGTAGTTACTTATAATAAACATAGTTTTACTCAGCAGATTTCAAAGGGGGCATCTCAATATTAGAACTAGTTTGAACCCCCCCCCCTTCTAAATCTAGTCTCAAGTAAGGGTAAAATCTCTAAATTTTTCCTCCTTGAAAATAAGAAGTTGTTCTTCCTAAAAAATTGATAGCTGTCAAAAATTATATACACACAATAAAATGTTTATGTGGTTTTTGTAAAAAAATATCTGATATGCTGCTTTGGCTAATTAATTAAGGAAGTTCGCTACTCATGTTTTTGACATTTTTTCAGATATTCGGAGTCCTCTAATTATATCTATGTAGTGACAATACAAATTTTACCCGCTAACCCTTACTTACTTTTCATATTTTTATTACATATAGTTTAAAAAGTCATTTATGAAAATGTTATAAAATCCTAGTTATTTTTTCATAATTTTTGAAAGAAAAATTCTAATGGGTTCCGCGGAACCCAGTGTCTCGCCTACATTTTCTGTTAATCGCAGGCTCAACAACAATGAGGAAGTAAATCAATAAAAATATTCCTCTTGATACTATCTTTTGATTGTAAGAAGCTTCTGTCCAAGTTTGGTAAAAATCCAGGATAGTTTATGAATCTAATAAATGTTTAAAAACTTTAACTGCAGACTGAATGTTATGTTAACTGGAAGAAAACAAAATTTCCTTCTAGATACTAGCATTTGATCATAAACAAGCTTCTGTCCAAGTTTGGTACAAATCTAAAATAGTATAAGAAAGTTATTAAAATTTTAAAAACTTTAACCACAGAGTGAATGTGTTGTTTCCTGGCAGAAAATCTAAGTCCATTTAAAAGTAAAATTCGGAAAAATGGATTTATTTTTTTACAAAATTTCCTTCTAGATACTAGCTTTTGCTCCTAAACAAGCTTCTGTCCAAGTTTGGTACAAATCCAAAATAGTATAAGAAAGTTATTAAAATTTTCAAAACTTTAACCACAGAGTGAATGTAATATTTCCCGGCAGAAAAACTAAGTCCCTTTATAAATAAAATACAGAAAAAATGGAATTTTATTTTTACAAAATTTACTTCTGGATACTATCTTATGATCATAAACAAGCTTCTGTCCAAGTTTGGTAGAAATCCAGGATAGTTTAAGAAAGTTATTAAAATTTCAAAAACTTTAACCACAGAGTGAATATTTGTGGACGATGACGCCTAAGGAATGTAGGATCGCTATGTCTCGCTTTTTCGACTAAAGTCGAAGGCTCGACAAAAAAGGTGCCAATGTTAAATGTAGGAAAAATCTAGAGAGTATCATTTCCCGCAAAAATTTTCAGTTGATTATATCTCAAAAACAAGATCATGGACCTGTCATCTTTTTCTACTTTTTAAGTTATATTATATATATACAATCAATTTATAACAGTCTTTTAAAAAGCTTCTTATTTTGAAACAGAGAAGCAAACATCCTTTAATAAGATTTGAATACTTCTTTTTATAATTTCATTGTAGTATTAAAGCATCCGTCAAAGCAAATTTTGTATGAGGCCCTTCATATTAAAAACGTGTGCATGATCAGATCTTTTACGATCCTACAAAATTATAATAAAATGCTTCGCTGGGCGCAGCTTGATACGACCGCAGAGGTCGAACCCTGAACAGTTGGGGCAAGTATGGACACAACATTCAAGCTTGATACAGCTCTGAATTTGGATTGTGATTAAATATTTGACACAGCATAGGTTTCTGACACATTTTTTTTAATTTACCTATTATGGTCCAATGTCCAAAATCAAAATACATGGTTAGATTCAGCATATCAAAGAACCCCATATATTCAATTTTTGTTGAAATCAAACAAAGTTTAATTTTGGACCCCAACTTGGACAAACTTGAAAACTGGTCCCATAATCAAAAATCTAAACACATGTTTAGATTCAGCATATCAAAGTACCCCAAGAATTCAATTTTTGTTAAAATCAAACTAAGTTTAATTTTGGACCCTTTGGACCTCAATGTAGACCAATTTAAAAAAACCGGACCCAAAATTAAAAATCTAAAAACACGGTTAGATTTGGCATATCAAAGAACCCCAATAATTCAATTTTTGATGAAATCAAACAAAGTTTAATTTTGGACCCTTTTGACCTCAATATGAACCAATTTGATAGCGGGCCCACAAATAAAAAATCTAAATACATGGTAAGATTCAGCATATCAAAGAACCCCATATATTCAATTTTTGTTGAAATCAAACAAAGTTTAATTTTGGACCCCAATTTGGACCAACTTGAAAACTGGGCCAAAAATCTAAAATCTAAATACATGTTTAGATTCAGCATATCAAAGAACCCCATATATTCAATTTTTGTTTAAATCAAACAAAGTTGAATTTTGGACCCCAACTTGGACCAACTTGAAAACTGGGCCCATAATCAAAAATCTAAACACATGTTTAGATTCAGCATATCAAAGAACCCCATATATTAAATTTTTGTTAAAATCAAACAAAGTTTAATTTTGGACCCTTTGGACCTTAATGTAGACCAATTTGAAAACTGGACCCAAAATTAAAAATCTAAATACATGGTTAGATTCGGCATAACAAATAAATAAATGTGGTCAAAGATTTTACAAATCTAATGCGCCATACTGGTCTTCCTTTATAAATATGCATTTCTTTAAACATAATTTAAAAGCAGTGTAAGGGAAGTAACCAAAACGTTGTATTTGGATTACCTCCCTTACACTGTTTTAAATTATCTTAATTGTTCATTAACCATTACTTTATACATAATTTAAAAGCAGTGTAAGGGAGATAATTTCAATGATGTATTTGATTTATCTCCCTTACACTGCTTTAAATTATGTTTTGTACTAAAGTATTTGTCCATTAATGAGGACAACCTTGTTTTTCCCCCTTTTTTGCCCCTATTTCTTAAACGGTTTGAGCAATAACCCCCCAAAGCAAATCCTAACCATCCCTTTGTGGTATGGAAACTTGTAGTATAATTTCAGAGAGATCCATACACCGTTCCACAGTTATTGTCTGGAAACTAGAAAATGCTTATTTTTGGCCCCTAATTCCTTAACTGTTAGTACCATAACCCCCAAAATCAATCCCCACCTTCCTTTTGTGGTATTGAACCTTATGGTAAAATTTCATAGAGATCCATTCACTTAAACTAAAGTTAGAGTGCGAAAACTAATGCGTCTTCGGACGACGACACCGGACGACGACAACGACGACGACGACGTCGCCAACGTCATACCAATATACGACCACAAAATTTTTTTTGCGGTCATATAAAAAGAAGCATTCAATTCTTGTAATTTGTATGCTACAACCATGAAATTTAGAGTTATATCAAACTTTTCATTGCATTCTCTTAACATTGTCACGGATAGAACGTGCAGTCATAGCTGTTGTATTTTATACGGAAATTAATTATGATAGTGAAGTGCCTCGGATAGAACGTGCAGTCATAGCTGTTGTATTTTATATGGAAATTAATTATGACAGTGAAGTGCCTCGGATAGAACGTGCAGTCATAGCTGTTGTATTTTATACAGAAATTAAATATGATAGTGAAGTGCCTCACAGTTGTTGTCAGCCAATCAACATTACATATTCTAATGAAACATACATGTGATGTAATTATGTAATGGTAAGATTGTTATTAAGATCACAAAGTCGAATGGGTAGTATTTTGATGTGCTTCTAAAATCTGAATTGTTCAGTTGTAAGTTTGTTTATGATATGCATACTACTGCAGTGCTTGCATTGCCTAGTTTACATAAAAGCTGATAATTTATATACATCTATTTGCTTTCTAAATAATTACTGACCTGATTAGTTGTACACTTTAACAGTGGTGTATGTGCTATAACAGTAACATATAATTCAGGTTCATAGAGCAGATCTGTTCCTGGCAAGATAAACTGAAACACATAAAAAAAACACTTGTAATGACATGATTAAATTCATCATTTATACCCATCATTTTACTATAAGAACTTGTCTATTTTTGGCCTAAACTTACATGTACATCAATTTTCACTCTCTTGATCTATGTCTGACTTCTGAAGAATAAACTGCTATTATCATTATCAAATTGGTATAGGCTTGATGTAAAATGATGGCTTTATTATACAAGATTAACTAGTTTTTGACTGCCATCTGCTCTAAGGTTCATGATAAATTAAAGCAATACATATCAAATTTACTGCACTGAATACCTAAATATAAGAAATGTTCAAAGAAAAGTTTAGTCATAGATTTTTATGAATATGTGGATAACTATTTTTAAAATTCATCAGAATGTAGATAATCAAGCACTGCCAATGCCATAACCTCTAGGCCTTGACAGACTAGTACGATATCCTATAGTTATTAACTTCTATGTCATTTGGTCTCTGGTGGAGACTTGTCTCATTGGCAATCATACCACATCTTCTTATTTTTATACTGCTGTTACTCTACACATGCAATTTTTTTTACAATCATCTAAATCAACCACTTTTAAGCTAGATTGATTGTTGCTTGCTTCCTATCAAGCAGCAAATATTTCTTGTTTCAGGATGAGAACAAATCAAAAGTAAATACAATAGGTAGGTAGGTCCTGTAATAGGGATAAATCAGGATGAAGGGCAGGAAATTTGGAGGGCCACAGAAATCTAATCTTGCAACAGGCCACCTACGGATCCATCAAAGAGTCGTTGCAAGGGTTTCTAATGTGTAGAGAGTGCGGCATTCTCACAATACCAGGCATCAGATTTAACATCCCCATTCTGACTGGACATGACTGTGTATTTTTACATCCCATGCAACCAAACAGACGCCTCATTTAGGCAAGGGTTTTACCTCCTGTAGAAAGAAGACCAGAGTGACCATATTCCTATTCCCTAGTCACCCTTGGGTTTATTTTTTAGACTAACAAACCTTGTCCTTATGGTCTTTAAACCTTATTCAAAGTACTCTCCCTTAATTAACAACTTACAGGACTAACAACTCCTGTCAGACATCTTCTCAATGTTGGAATTACTTTATTCAGTATAACTTCTCCGGTCCTTAAGTCCTACAATACAAAATGAAAATAACATGGTGTTTAAAATTCATTTACTACTGTGAAAGACAGAAATACTTGTATTGTTAGGTTAGAATTTACAATGGTTTGGGGATTTGCTGTTAGATTTTATTCATTTTATAATTCATTATTTCACACAAAAACACTAAAACATGGGTCCAAAATATAGCCTTATGGTAACAAACAACATAGAGAAAAGCAATAAAAGTTATTATACTGCAACTGTGCTATTATCTATGCAGTTAAAATGCATTGACGGTAAAACTTTGCGTTAATACAGCCACTGACCATATAAAACCTTACTTGTGATATTGACAATGTGCTTCTGTAAAGTTTTATCTATGACATCATGAAAGAATGCAGGTCAACAGATTTTTAGGTTGTCTGCTTTAGATTCAAAATTGTTTATTGTTACATAGGTAAAATTTCCTCCCTTCTGCTATGAACTAGGAGTGAAAGGCTTGGTGAGTATTGTTTTTTTTTTCTGATTTGAAAATCTTGTACATATGAATTTAACATTTTTCTAAAACTGCATGTACAATGAAGTGTTCACAAGTTGTCAAGACAACCTTTTTCTATATGTATTTTACAAACTGCCTTTTTTTCAAAGAATTTGTCAGGACTTATTTTCAGTCTGTCATTTAATTTCCACCAATTAAAAGTAGATTTCTATACAGTTCTTCTTTTTCATCTTATTCAATTCTTTGAACACAATATTGTCTTTGTACCGATTGTTACATGTATTTATGTAAAATTCCAAATTACCAGTTAATCTAAATTCTTAAAAACTAAAATTAACTAGAGGCTCTCAAGAGCCTGTGTCGCTCACCTGATTCTACTTTGGTTTTGGAAATCATGTAAAAATAGATTAAAATCATAACAGATACCGTATAGCGGGTTATTTTCGCTGGGTGTTTATTTTCGCTTATTTTGGCGGATAAATGAAAATCGCGAAATTAAATTCCGCGAAAAATTTAGGGATACCTTCTGTACTTTCTAATAGTTAAAGCGTTTTGCAAACGATCTTATTTTGTCCGGTCAGCAGATCAATAACGGTATAGGTTAGTTTTAACAACATAAATGCGAAAGGGCATTGTACATACATGTATTTTAGAAAATGGTTATCAGGAGTGTATGCCCTAATTATTAGTGTCAAATAAAGTAAGTGTAAGGTACTCTAGCAGGTAATTATCCTTATTAATTAGTGTCAAATTATATACATGATATATGAGTTGTAAGTCACTCTTGATAATTTTACAATCTAATTAGTAGGTACAATGTACATCAAAGGTCCGTTCAATTTCGTACCTAATCAACCGTACAATTTACAAGAAGTTTGTATACCTGTGACAAATATCTAAGTAACCGGTTTTCTATTGATTAGCTGTATCTGAATATCATCAATAAATACGAAGTCATTCAGGTAAAAAAAATCATTTAACCATTTAACAATAGACACTTGTATGTCAATTTTTACATCTTTTTTAACTGCAAAAATTTCAGTACCCGCCAAAATATTTAGTTGGGATTTAAGAATCCACCAAAATAAAAACCGCCAAAATTTTTCGTATACTTTGTTGCCCCTAAATAGCGAAATTTTACACCCGCGAAAATAACCCGCTATACGGTACCCTTATAATGAGTGAGGCCAAATTTAATTTAATATTGGTCCTGTAATTTAATAAAAAATCCTGGTGGCCATCTTGAACAGTAAATCGGCAACAAAGTAGCAACACTTCATCAGCACCTCATAAGAAACATTTATGCCATGTTTTGGTTTCATTCCATTCAGTGCACCTCTAGAAGAAGCATTTGTATGTATTTCCCATAGGGTCTTATGTTAAAGGAAGTCCCCCCATTGGCGGCCATCATGGATGAAGGATCAGCTTCAAAGTAACAAAACTTAGTCAGCACCTCATAAGGAACATTCATGCCATGTTTGATTTCAATCCATTCAGTATGTGGTTCTCTAAAAGAAGACATTTGTATGTATTGTCCATAGGGTCCTTTGTTAAACATTGTCCCCATCTGGCGGCCATCGTGGATGAAGGATCAGCTTCAAAGTAACAACACTTGGTCAGCACCTCAAAAGGAACATGCATGCCATTGTTGGTTTCATTCCATTCAATGGTTCTCTAAAAGAAAACATTTGTATGTATTTCTCATAGGGTCCTATGTTTAACTAAGTCCTCCACTGGCGGCAATCTTAGATTATGGATCAGCTTCATAGTAACAACACTTGGTCAGCACCTCATAAGGAACATTCATGCCATGTTTGGTTTCATTCCATTCAGTGGTTCTCTAAAAGAAGACATTTGTATGTATTTCCCATAGGCTCCTATGTTAAACTAAGTCCCCCGCTGGCGGCCATCTTTGATGATGGATCAGCTTCAAAGTAACAACACTTGGTCAGCACCTCATAAGGAACATTCATCCCATGTTTGGTTTCATTCCATTCAGTGGTTCTCTAAAAGAAGACATTTGTATGTATTTCCCATAGGCTCCTATGTTAAACTAAGTCCCCCGCTGGCGGCCATCTTGGATGATGGATCAGCTTCAAAGTAACAACACTTGGTCAGCACCTCATAAGGAACATTAATGTCATGTTTGGTTTCATTCCATTCAGTGGTTCTCTAAAAGAAGACATTTGTATGTATTTCCCATAGGCTCCTATGTTAAACTAAGTCCCCCGCTGGCGGCCATCTTGGATGATGGATCAGCTTCAAAGTAACAACACTTGGTCAGCACCTCATAAGGAACATTCATCCCATGTTTGGTTTCATTCCATTCAGTGGTTCTCTAAAAGAAGACATTTGTATGTATTTCTCATAGGGTCCCATGTTAAACTAAGTCCCCTGCTGGCGGCCATCTTGGATGATGGATCGGCTTCAAAGTAACAACACTCAGTCAGCACCTCATAAGAAACATTCATGCCATGTTTGGTTTCATTCCATTCAGTGGTTCTCTAAAAGAAGACATTTGTATGTATTTCCCATAGGGTCCAATGTTAAACTAAGTCCCCCGCTGGCGGCCATCTTTGATGATGGATCCGCTACAAAGTAACAACACTTGGTCAGCACCTCATAAGGAACATTCATGCCATGTTTGGTTTCATTCCATTCAGTGGTTCTCTAGAAGAAGTTCAAAATGTAAAAAGTTAGCTTTTAGTGATGAGAAAAGCTCACTTGGCCCTTCGGGCCAGGTGAGCTAAAAATGAATAAAAAATAGGATAAAGAACAGCAGCCGGTTGTACGAAGTGTCATTAGCTTAATGAGTCATCAAGGCTTAATGATTCATTAAAACCTTAATAGGACATTAGTTAATGAGTCCATTAAAATGTGTTGTACGAAGCAATATTTTGTTGCTCATTAACTAATGGACATCTAATGACGGATGCGTCATTAAACTATCATTAAATATTGGGTTTCCCCTAAATATTTCCCACAATTCCACAAAATGTAAACATCCGTCGTCTGCAAGGTAACTATCAACAACTATCGGACTATGGACATGGATGCTACTAAGACGACAAGAAATCGATCCAAAAATTTTGAATCGTCAGAAATTACCTTGATCACGGAACTGGTGCAACAAAACTTTTCATTATTAGATGACAAATTTAAGTCCAGTCACGGTACCAGTTCCGTGACAAGTGAAAAAAAACGTTTGGTCTGGGAGCACATTACCGAAAGGGTCAACTCTTTAGGTGTGTGCCCCAGATCAACCAAAGAAATTAAGACTCAATAGTCCAATTTGCACCAAGAGGCCAAAAAGGCATACACAGAAAAGGCCAGTGACCACCAGAGAACTGGCGGTGGTCCACCACCAAAACCCCTGTCAGAGACGCAAGAAATGATTGTCGACATTTACAAAGGTTGCCCCAGTTTTACTGGGTTGCAAGGGGTGGAGTCACCAATTGATGCCACGGATTCCAGTCTTGCTACGACAGGTACAATATGTTTTTTTTTTCTGCTTGCATTTCATGTACTGTATGTCATTACAATACAAGTTACAGGTTATAAAAAAATGTGTACATTTATAATACAAGGCACGGTATTTCCATATAAACGTTTTTTCCCCTATTATGAGATTACAATAAATCGGCATCTTTTTGTATTGTGCACAAACTTTTCGCCAGGTTCACATGATATTTGGATTATTCTTCTTCAGGCATACATCATTCATAATAAAAAAATTCCCTAACATGTGCCTTCTTATAATCTCAATCATATTGAAGTCAAGAAGCATTACATAGTATTCCATCGACACCTGATTACATATTGTTCCACCATAATAAAAGTTCTGAAATTTGCAACTCAAAAGTTGTACCCTTTCTTCAGTGCCAGTGGGACTGAGAAAGTGAGAGATTTCAACAGCCATAAAGTCTACCCCTGTTCCTTTTAAGAAGAGTCAATGGAACTGTAAACAAGGGACTCCTTTATACATTAATGTAAATACCTATAGGGTTCTTCCTTACGAACTACTATTTTAGCTGTACACACAGGGCGCCGAACGGAACTCTTGTGGTTTTGTACTAGAAATTCAATTTTGTACGGACAAAAGTGAGTTTAATGAACAAAAATGAGTTCAGTGTAGACAAAATTGAAAGTGAAAATTTAACACAAAAGTCAATTTTGTATGCAAATTAGTTTATATTTGCATACCTAAAAAAAATGCATTTTGTCCACAAAAATGAATTTTGTAATTACAAAATTGAAGTTCTCATAAAACAAGTCTATCACATAGTTTTGTAAAACAAAAAGGATTTTGTTATGACAGAATTGAATTTTGTGTACCCACAATTTCTTTGATTACAAAAAGTTCAAGTCCCATTCGGTGCGCCGTAGCCGTACACTTCATACAAAATGTTTATGATTTATCATTGTAATTTAAGATGTATGTACTTGTATTCTTTATTAATTCTGGTCAAGGAATACAAATTATACAAACATTTGGACAAGACAGACACACAATGTCAAACAGTTAAGAAATTTGATCTATAATTGTAATAACTTCAAATACATGGTGACTTGGATGGAGAGTTGTCTCATTGACAATCATACCACATCTTATTAATGTGAAATTTTACCTTCTTGCATGTAATAACATATTTATTGGTTTTATCTAATGAGTGAAAATCAAACATCACTTCATTATAGGTTCATGAAATCCACAATAAATCTATCATATCCTTGCATAGAAGTGCCTACACTATTTCATAAGGTTCCTCATTTCCTGGAAATCTAACAAAGTGCAGAAATTGTGTTTGGTCCAAAAAATTTTTAAGCAAGAACTAGACGGAGGTACAACACAAATGAAATATGATTTTTTTCACATTTACATGCATATCATGTACACATTTTTTATTATAACCTGTAACTTATATGTTTTATAGGCACCTGAGTTTTATTATTGTATTTATATTTCATTGCAGATCACACTTATTCGTTAAAAGTTATTTTTGTTAAAATCATGTCTTTTTGTTCCAGTTAAGCAATTTTAAATTATAATTGTATTGTGTGTCTTTTCATGTTGTAATGTTATACTACTGTCTCACGTTAGGGTGAAGGTTGGCACGCCTTTAAAATGTTTAAAACCCAATGCATATTTTATATGCACCTGTCCTAAGTCAGGAGCCTGTTGTTCAGTGGTTGTCGTTTGTTAATGTGGTTCATAGGTGTTTTCTGTTTCTCGTTTTGTATATAGATTAGACATGTTTGAAATTATTTACACTGGTCATTTGGGGGCCCTTAGAGCTTGCTGTTTGGTGTGAGCCATGGGTCCGTGTTGAAGGCCGTAATTTGATTTATAATTGTTAACTTCAAATACATGGTGACTTGGATGGAGAGTTGTCTCATTGACAATCATACCACATCTTCTTATTTATATATTTTTAATAGATTATTTATTACTTCAAATCATTAATTTAATATGATTAGCTTGAAAAGAATAGAATATAGAATAGAATATAGAATAGAAAATAGAATAGAATATATAGAATAGAAAATAGAATAGAATATAGAAAGAATAGAATATAGAATAGAATATAGAATAGAATATAGAATGGGGCATCATTAAATAAATTGATTTTTAATGACAGTTTAATGAACTTTTACTTCATTAAACTATTTGTACAACAGATTTAATGACACATTAGTTAATGACGCGCTAATGACACTTTAATGAGCCGTTAAATTTAATGACACTTTCGTACAACCGGCTGCTGGAAATCCTTCTTTAACGATGAAAATATCATTAAATACATTAAACTTACAACTGATGCAGCTGAGTGGCTTAGATCCAGAACAAACACTATCCTATACCTCTTGGCCAGGAATATGATGTTGGAATGAGGCAGCAGTTTAAATTTAAATCCATCTCTGAGCTGATTGTCATCTGGGACATCATCTTCATGGGGTAGGACAGACAAAACAGTCAGCTCATCCTCAATGTTATCCTAAAGATATTAATATACAATTATAGATATCAATCTTTCAAATTTCAAAAGATTTGGTCATGTGGTACTTTAATTATCATCCAGTAATAAAAAAAATACAAATTCTGAAGGTAACTAAGGTCATAATTATTTTTAACAGTTCATGTCAAAACCATCAAATTTCAAAAGATTTCGTCAAGTGGTACTTTAATTGTTATCCAGAATTAAAACTTAAAAAACAGATGAACAGATGGACAGACAGACTGACGGGTACATAATACTAGAGGCTCTCAAGAGCCTGTGTCGCTCACCTGACTCTACTTTGGTTTTAGAAATCATGTAAAGATAGATAAAAATCATAACAGATACCCAAATAATGATTGAGGCCAAATTTTGATTAATATTGGTCCCGTTATTCAATAAAATATCCTGGTGGCCATCTTGAACAGTAAATCGGCAACAAAGTAGCAACACTTGGTCAGCACTTCATAAGGAACATTCATGCCATGTTTGGTTTCATTCCATTCAGTGGTACTCTAAAAGAAGACATTTGTATGTATTTCCCATAGGGTCCTATGTTAAACTAAGCCCCCCCCCCCCCCCTAGCGGCCATCTTGGATGATGGATCGACTGCAAAGTAACAACACTTGGTCAGCAACTCATAAGGAACATTCATGCCATGTTTGGTTCAATTCCATTCAGTGGTTCTCTAAAAGAAGACAATTGTATGTATTTCCCATAGGGTCCTATGTTAAACTAAGTCCCCCGCTGTCGGCCATCTTGGATGATGGATCAGCTACAAAGTCACAACACTTGGTCAGCATCTCATAAGGAAGATTCATGCCATGTTTGGTTTCATTCCATTCAGTGGTTCTCTAAAAGAAGACATTTGTATGTATTTCCCATAGGTCCTTTGTTAAACTAAGTCCCCTGCTGTCGGCCATCTTGGATGATGGACCGACTGCAAAGTAACAACACTTGGTCAGTACCTCATAAGGAACATTCATGCCATGTTTGGTTTCATTCCATTCAGTGGTTCGCTAAAAGAAGACATTTGTATGTATTTCCCATAGGTCCTTTGTTAAACTAAGTCCCCTGCTGTCGGCCATCTTGGATGATGGACCGACTGCAAAGTAACAACACTTGGTCAGTACCTCATAAGGAACATTCATGCCATGTTTGGTTTCATTCCATTCAGTGGTTCTCTAAAAGAAGACATTTGTATGTATTTCCCATAGGGTCCTATTTTAAACTAAGTCCCCCGTTGGCGGCCATCTTGGATGATGGATCGGCTATAAAGTAACAACACTTGGTCAGAACCTCATAAGGGACATTCATGCCATGTTTGGTTTCATTCCATTCAGTGGTTCTCTAAAAGAAGATATTTGTATGTATTTCCCATAGGGTCCTATGTTAAACTAAGTCCCCTGCTGGCGGCCATCTTGGATGATGGACCGACTGCAAAGTAACAACACTTGGTCAGCATCTCATAAGGAACATTCATGCCATGTTTAGTTCCATTCCATTCAGTGGTTCTCTAAAAGAAGACATTTTTATGTATTTCCCATAGGGTCCTATGTTAAACTAAGTCCCCCGCTGGCGGCCATCTTGGATGATGGATCGGCTACAAAGTAACAACACTTGGTCAGCACCTCATAAGGAACATTCATGCCATGTTTGGTTTCATTCCATTCAGTGGTTCTCTAAAAGAAGACATTTGTATGTATTTCCCATAGGGTCCTATGTTAAACAAAGTTCCCCGATGGCGGCCATCTTGGATGATGGATCGGCTACAAAGTAACAACACTTGGTGAGCACCTCATAAGGAACATTAATGCCATGTTTGGTTTCATTCCATTCAGTGGTTCTCTAAAAGAAGTCATTTGTATGCATTTCCCATAGGGTCCTATGTTAAACTAAGTCCCCCGCTGGCGGCCATCTTGGATGATGGATCTGCTACAAAGTAACAACACTTGGTCAGCACCTCATAAGGAACATTCATGCCATGTTTGGTTTCATTCCATTCAGTGGTTCTCTAGAAGAAGTTCAAAATGTAAAAAGTTAACGCCGACGACGGACGACGCTGGACGACGGACGCCAAGTGATGAGAAAAGCTCACTTGGCCCTTCGGGCCAGGTGAGCTAAATATCCCCAATCTTTGACTTATGATTTTCTACCTAAAATAAATTACAGAAATATGACTAAAATATGTATGATGCCAATTAACAATTGTGTAAACTTTCTGTCCTGTCAGGGTAATAGTATCTAGGAGAATTGGTGCTCACAAAAAAAAAAATTATCAAGTATTACCTCACCTTTGGTATTTGATGAAGTTAGTTGGAATTTTCACTCATTGTAAGTGTGTGTTTGAAGGAACATGTAATTATAGACAGTTACACACATTTTTTTAATGGTATCTCATGGTTGTGTCTATGTCAATATTAAAGGAAATGTACATTTATCATCAAATTAAATACATGTATATCCAATAATGGATATTTTTTGTTAACATTTTGGGTAACCAATTTGCCGATTTTTACTGTATCGCAAACATAATTCTGCTGTAAATTGTAACCAAAAGTAAGCATGCAATATTCACCAGTATTGCACTAGTGCAATATCATTAAATAAAATGCTTCGCTGGGGCGCAGCTTGATACGACCGCAGAGGTCGAACCCTGAACAGTTGGGGCAAGTATGGACACAACATTCAAGCTTGATACAGCTCTGAATTTGGATTGTTATTAAATATTTGACACAGCATAGGTTTCTGACACAGAAAGAATGTGGTCTAAGAACTTGAATTTTTTTAATTTACCTATTATGGTCCAATATGTCCAAAATCAAAATACATGGTTAGATTCAGCATATCAAAGAACCCCATATATTCAATTTTTGTTAAAATCAAACAAAGTTTAATTTTGGACCCCAACTTGGACAAACTTGAAAACTGGGCCCATAATCAAAAATCTAAACACATGTTTAGATTCAGCATATCAAAGAACCCCAAGAATTCAATTTTTGCTAAAATCAAACTAAGTTTAATTTTGGACCCTTTGGACCTTAATGTAGACCAATTTAAAAAACGGGACTTAAAATTAAAAATCTAAATACACAGTTAGATTTGGAATATCAAAAAACCCCAATAATTCAATTTTTGATGAAATCAAACAAAGTTTAATTTTGGACCCTTTTGACCTCAATATGAACCAATTTGATAGCGGGGCCCACAAATAAAAAATCTAAATTCATGGTTAGATTCAGCATATCAAAGAACCCCATATATTCAATTTTTGTTGAAATCAAAAAAAGTATAATTTTGGACCCCAACTTGGACCAACTTGAAAACTGGGCCCATAATCAAAAATCTAAACACATGTTTAGATTCAGCATATCAAAGAACCCCAAGAATTCAATTTTTGTTAAAATCAAACTAAGTTTAATTTTGGACCCTTTGGACCTCAATGAAGACCAATTTAAAAAACGGGACCCAAATTAAAAATCTAAAAACACGGTTAGATTTGGCATATCAAAGAACCCCAATAATTCAATTTTCGATGAAATCAAACAAAGTTTAATTTTGGACCCTTTTGACCTCAATATGAACCAATTTGATAGCGGGGCCTACAAATAAAAAATCTAAATACATGGTTAGATTCAGCATATCAAAGAACCTCATATATTCAATTTTTGTTGAAATCAAACAAAGTTTAATTTTGGACCCCAATTTGGACCAACTTGAAAACTGGGCCCATAATCAAAAATCTAAATACATGTTTAGATTCAGCATATCTAAGAACCCCATATATTCAATTTTTGTTGAAATCAAACAAAGTTTAAATACTGGACCCTATCTTGGACCAACTTGAAAACTGGGCCCATCATCAAAAATCTAAACACATGTTTAGATTCAGAAAATCAAAGAACCCCAAGAATTCAATTTTTGTTAAAATCAAACTAAGTTTAATTTGGACCCTTTGGACCTCAATGTAGACCAATTTAAAAAACAGGACCCAAAATTAAAAACCTAAATACACGGTTAGATTTGGAATATCAAAGAACCCCAATAATTCAATTTTAGATGAAATCAAACAAAGTTTAATTTTGGACCCTTTTGACCTCAATATGAACCAATTAGATAACGGGGTCCACAAATAAAATATCTAAATACATGGTTAGATTCAGCATATCAAAGAACCCCATATATTCAATTTTTGTTGAAATCAAACAAAGTTTAATTTTGGACCCCAATTTGGACCAACATGAAAACTGGGCCAAAAATCAAAAATCTAAATACATGTTTAGATTCAGCATATCAAAGAACCTCATATATTCAATTTTTGCTAAAATCAAACAAAGTTTAATTTTGGACCCTTTGGACATTAATGTAGACCAATTTGAAAACTGGACCCAAAATTAAAAATCTAAATACACTGTTAGATTCGGCATAACAAATAAATAAATGTGATCAAAGATTTTACAAATCTAATGCGCCATACTGTGCAATTAAAGATTACTTCTTGAAATTTTTCAATATTTGAAATTTGAAAAAAAAATAATATTTGAAGAATAATTCTTTTTAATTTCTGAAATCTGAAATGAGAAAAAATTGGCCCCCCACAATTTCTTTTTATCCCCCCCCCTTTTTCCCCCAAAAAAATTCTTTCCCTCAAGATATGGTCATAATCTCAATTCAAATTTCCAATGGAGTTGGCAACCATAATTACCCATTTAAATTTACCATAGTGCTAACTTAATCTATTTTATAATAGAATTAATAAAAATATAGTGTCAAATCTTTCATATGGATTTTTTTGTAAAAAAAAAAAGATGAAAACATTTGCAGATATTTTTACTGGTCTTCCTTTATAAATATGCATTTCTTTAAACATAATTTAAAAGCAGTGTAAGGGAAGTAACCAAAACGTTGTATTTGGATTACCTCCCTTACACTGTTTTAGATTATCTTTATTGTTCATTAACCATTACTTTATACATAATTTAAAAGCAGTGTAAGGGAGATAATTTCAATGATGTATTTGATTTATCTCCCTTACACTGCTTTAAATTATGTTTTGTACTAAAGTATTTGTCCATTAACCAGGACAACCTTGTTTTTCCCCCTTTTTTGCCCCTAATTCCTAAACGGTTTGAGCCATAACCCCCCAAAGCAAATCCTAACCATCCCTTTGTGGTATGGAAACTTGTAGTATAATTTCAGAGAGACCCATACACCGTTCCACAGTTATTGTCTGGAAACTAGAAAATGCTCATTTTTGGCCCCTTTTTGGCCCCTAATTCCTTAACTGTTGGTACCATAACCCCCAAAATCAATCCCAACCTTCCTTTTGTGGTATTTAACCTTATGGTCAAATTTCAAAAAGATCCATTCACTTAAACTAAAGTTAGAGTGCGAAAACCAATATGTATTCGGACGACGACGACGACGCCAACGTCATACCAATATACGACCACAAAATTTTTTTGCGGTCGTATAAAAATTACAAAAATGTAAAACAAGCTAGCTGATCTTGACATTTTAAACATTTTGCAATTTTGTACAAATATTGAATATCATCAATGCAGAACACTAATTGAACTTGCAAGCGTGTGTATTAACCCTATAATACTATAATTATATTACTTCCCTAGGTTTTCAACATTCTATATAGTTTTAAACTAACCAGTGATTTTCTTGGAACAAATGGTATAACTGTGTCAAGATTTGAGAAATACCATGATGCTCTTATGTTTCTGGATATTCTGTAATCTTCTTTCATCAACACATACACAGTTCTTGCTCTCAGAACCTGCAAAAAAATCACAAATGTAGTATGTTGCTAAATAAATTGGTTGTGTCAGTTCAGTTACAAAAATGTAAAAAATGTAGCCTTTTAAAACAGAATAACACCAAAGTACTTAAGAAGTATAAAAATACACAGGAAGTGAATTGTAATTATTTATCACCAATAAAAAATGTTGCTCAATACCAATTTGCCAGAAATGTTCCTGCATTTTTATAAAATGTGGTAAATCACCACTATGATGTCACCTCAATGATATTACAGTCATATTGTGTCATCAATATTAACTTATATATGTACTGATGTAGTAACAAGTTTGTTAAGGCCTAAATTTAGCCGTTTCATATGTTACCAATAACGTTATCATTCAAGTTTTGAATTTTTGTTCAATTTACATGGACACATAAGCTGCAAATGGCTTCTTCTTTGAAAAAATCATTATCACTGTTTTTTCTGGATTAAGATACTATAATAATTAATTACCATTCATTTAGTTTGCATAAATCATGGTCTATTACTGGTTTAATGTTAACAGCACTTATAACTAGAATTTTCCAATGAAGTGCCATCGTCAGACAACCTGCTTAATTAACATCAACAACACTAAGAGATATATTTCGCTTATTCTTAGCTGATTTTTACTTTCATAGACAGGTTGATTAATTTTTTTCAAAAATCAGTTGTGACCAGGGCTTCCAAAACCGTGGTATTGTCTTCTGGACATGTTTTGCAGCTCGCCTGAACCGGACATTTAAGTTGGGTTTGCCATTTTAAGATAATTCAGAAAAAAGTTGAAGTTTATGCAATCTTTTTGACCTGACCTTTTGCCTTAAACAGCATCTCACTTTCTGTCATAAAAGTGACATGATGAATAAGCACTATAAAAAAGCCCTACTTTAATACCCCCTAATTACAATCAAGGTTAATTAGTGGTCTGACAGACAGGTAAACTATTTTGTACCAGACATTGATTGATCTATTTAATGTTATTCTCTTAAATTTCACTGGTTTGGTCTATCTAATTTAGTTAAAAATATTTAGACTATCTAATTGAATAACTCGTTTCAAATATCATTTGATGATATATCTAAAAAGATAATAATAAAGGTTTTACAGCTCTTTTCATAATGCTAGCAAGGCAAAGGTTTGTTTGGCTTGCTTGCCTTGTTTGTATCAATGTTTGCTCAAGCATTGTAATTAAGATTGACATTTGAAAACAACATAAAAAGGAGGATTTAAACTTGTATACATTATATTTAAATTTGATTGGACATTATCAAATAATCAAATTTACCTTTACACAGATTTAACTCCGCCTACTTACATTGTTTGCAGATGTCAATCTTAATTACAATGCTTGAGCAAACATTGATACAAACAAAGCAAGCAAGCCTATCAAACCTTTGTCCTGCTAGCATTATGAAAAGAGCTGTAAGCGAAAAAATCGTTGGCACCATGTTGTTTGAACTAGTACATGGGGTTAGCAGGTGAAAGATATAATTATGCACCCAAATTCTTCAAAATACTAAAAATATCATTGATACCTTTATCTTATGTTCATTTCAAGTATTTTCTTGAAGAATAACGTGGAAAGAACTACTCAAAACTCAATTATCCTTTCTAAACGTACACGGATTTTACATATCCGTCTCTGGTTCATGTTTTACCATTGATGTCAACATCCAGTATTAGGAAAACATGCTTTATAAAACGAAAGTAAAGGTTTTGACTGTGTGATTTGCATTAATAAAGATTCTAAGGCATAAATTAGTATGCTGATGTTGCACACTTCTTATCATGCACTGTCAATGTAATAATCTGTCAGAACATTGAATTGACATCAAAAGTCTGAAGTTGGTATCTGGTTTTTAAATCAGTTGACAGCAGACACCTTGTGTAAGGTGTCCTCTAAAGCTGTCAACTGTGGTTGACTGTACTGTGGCTATTGGTAGCATGTTCCGCTGAATGAAGGTATGCGGAAAATATGACCATTTATATGTTTCTTTTGTGGTTCATATATGTAAATATTTGGATTGTTTTGTCTTGTTCTGCTGTTGTTTGGTAATAATATTTCAGATGGTATGGCAATAAGGCTGTGAATGACTTTATAAAAAACTATAAGTCGGGTTTTAAGACGGTGTTCAGCTAATGTAGGTAGTTGTAAGTTGTTTACATGTATCACATTTGTACAATAAGTGTTATGGTAGTTATTACATATGTATCTAGCTGCTCGTCTCTGAACCATTTCTATTTTTCTGTAGCATCTTTTGTGCAAGGGTCCTATAAACTGCAACTGTATTCTAGTTTAGTTCTGACTATTGCTTGGTATGCTCTGGATTTAATGTATGTGTTTGATACTTTTAAATTTCTTTTAAGGAATCCTAAAGATTTATTTCTGTTCAATATAATATTGTCAAAATGAAGGTTCCATTTTAAGTTTGATTGTTAAATAACAGCAAAATATTTAGCAGATGTAACAGATTCAAGAATGTGGTTATGTAGAATGTATTCATGCAAATATGGTTTCTTTTTATGTGATATTGTGAGTTTGGTGCACTTTTCTGGGTGGAAAGCCATAAGCCAATCTGCTTCCCACCTTGCTGCAGAGTCTAGATCTTGTTGTAATCTATTGCAATCTTTTTGAGATTTGATTTCTCTAAATACAATGCTGTCATCGGCAAAGAGTCTTAATTTGCTATGTGTTAGATATTCTGAGAAATCATTGATATAAATGAGAAATAATATAGTGCCCAGTAACAGTACCCTGTGGAACTCAGGATGTGACTGTCACTGATGTAGAGGAAATACCATTTATTACAACTGTTTGTGTTCTATAGGATAAGAAAGCTTGGATCTAGTTTAGTGTATGTTTTCTTATCCAGTAGTAATTTAGTTTGTAAAGTAGTCGTTGGTGTGGAACTTTATTATCAAACATATTGAAAAGCAAAGTCCATAATGATGAGGTCAGTTTGTATGTTACAATTAATTCTAGATGCTAGTTCTTGGATGAAGTCAATTAATTTTGATTCGCAAGATTTCTAAAGCCATGTTGAAGTTTGTAGAAGATATTTTTTTCCCCCCTGGATGTGACATTATGTTACTTGTGATGATATGTTCCATTAACTTACAGTATACACAGTATGTTAATGATATGGGTCTTTAATTTACAGGTTTATATTTTTCCCCTTTTTTAAATGCGGGAGCAAAGTTTGCGTGTTTCCAACCGGTGTTTTGTCTGACTCTTGACTTACTGAATATTAATGCAAGTATTGGTGACACTTGCTCTTTTAATTCTTTGAGTACTCTACCATTTATATTGTCAGGTCATGCTTTATGTGGGTTAAGTTTAGATAGTAACTTTGTGACTCCTGTTTAGGTAATAGATATTTGTGGCTTTTCAAGATGTGGGCTTGTACCTTTGTCTGGGATATCTGTATTTGATTCATTTGTGAAAACTGATTGGAACTATTGGTTTAAAACGTTTTTTTTTTCTTCTGTTTCAGTGATTAGAATGCCATCCCTTTTTAAAGGTGCAATACATGTACTATCTGTTCTTGTGCTTTTAATATAGCTGAATCGTTTTTTGGTTTTGCATTTGATGTTATGTGTTGATCAGCATCATTTACAGGTACATCACAAATTAGTTTTTCTATGTAGTTCCAGTAACCTGTTCGTAGTTCTTTTTGTACTTGCTTTTTAAGTTTTCTGGATTTGTCTTTCTTTTACTACATGTATATGCTTTATTTTTGTTGATTATAAGTTTTTGTAATTTGTTTGTCACCCAAGTTAATCTGTGTTTATGTTATCATTTTGTATGAACATTTTTTTTCAATTGATAAGGTCTACTTTAAAGGTGTTCCACAATGCATCTCCATTACTTGAATCAAAAAAATTTTCAAGTGTTATAAGTGATTTTTCCTAAATCAGTCTTTATGTTTTCCCCAACTAACTTTGTTAAGTTTGAGGATTTTTCTCTTTACTTCCTGCACTCTTTTGAACCATGTATCTATTTCTATATAGACTATGTCATAGTCTGCTTGACAAACTGGTGGTAGTGTTGTGATCTTATTTACATTTGTTTGATTTGTTGTAAAAAAAGAACTAGCATTCGGTCATTACATGTAGATTTATCTCAATATCTGTCACTTGATGTAGGTGGTGATCATTTGTACTGTCTAGTATTTGTTGATGTCAATTTTGGTTCAGGTTTGCCTGTTACTACTGATGGTATAGACCAATAATTATGGCACACATTTAAGTTGCCTCCAACCTAGATATTTGATGTTGAAGTATTTTTAATTCTAATTAATGATATGTTAAACTTTTCTAGAGATGTTCTGTTATCATGCTATGTAAGTGAGATTTAACTTTGTATTACAGGTTGTTTTATATGTCAGATTAGACTGTTTTTATGTTATGTATATGTTTTCATATTCGGTCAAAAGCTCCTTAGAGCTTGTGTTGTGGCTTTAAACTTATACCGAATCAAAATAAAGTTTTCTTATCTTATCTTATCAAAAGGAGGTCGGTAATAGGTACCAACAATGATCTTTTTTGTACCTGTATTATCTATTTCAGACCATACATTGTTTGTAAAGTACTATGGACAGTGATTTTCCTACCTTTTTTCAAATGGGGCCTGGGCCCTAGGCAATTGGGAAAAATGTGTTGTATAACGTGTGAATTGGGAAAAAATAAATTATCGTTTTTCATCATAGTTTAATGAGGACTTTGGAATTTTTAGAAATGCATCTTTTATGACATTCCGAATACCAAACAATACTTGTATAAAGATCCCAAAAGTCACAATTGGGTTTGACAAGGATTCTATTCAAATTTTAATCTTTCTCAAACTAAAAACTGTCCTCATTATTTGGTTATCAACTGATCAGCTGCATATCAGCTGTCGACCTACTTTCTCTTCGGAGACATCTTCTGCTGCCTTCTCTTCCATATTATCTTTCTTGCAATTTTATATAAATTTTTTAGTCATGCTTTTTGAATCAACTGGTCGAACAGTCTCTAACTGTTGACGAATACCATCACTTTTTAACTTGAAAAAAAGTTCAAGGATCTTGCTGTTGATGGTGATCAGACGAACTTTGATCTAAGTTGTGTAAAAGTTTGAAAAATCAACAAGACGTTTTAAATAGAAAGGTAAAGTGTTTTTAAAGACTTGGAATGCAACACCAAGACAACCAACAATATTCTTGTTAAATTCTCAATCTTTTTGCCCTGACAATTCAGTTCAAAACAACAAAATAAAATGGAAAGAATAGTTCACGAAAAAGTACGATATTTTTTACAGATAAATTTCATTATTAAAATCAAATCAGCATTTACTGTCTGATAGTGATAGGACAGTAGTTCAAATAATTATGACGTTTTGAAAGTGTATTTCACAGGTACTGCGTTAGGGACAGGAACTTTTTTTTTTGCTCTCTCCCTTTTTTTCTAAAATCCGTTATTTTTTCCGTTTTCTATTATTTTTAATTATTTTTTTATATATTATACGAACTTATAAATACACTAAATTTAAATAACTAGTATTTGTTATTTGCTATCAATTCTAAGTTTACTATCCACAGCAGTCACTGCTATATTATATAGATAGAGTTGTAATCCCTTTTAAGTGGATTCACACTTGGCATATACACCAATCTCGAGTTATCTTTTATGAATGAATTGTACATGTTGAACCGGGGTCAATCAGCTTCAACGACGTCATCGAACAATCAGTTCTTAATATTGTGACGTAATAACCAAAGCATTGGGACATACGAAACTTATGGGAAAGTGCACGAATTCAAAAGTTGTCTATTCAATTGTGTTAATCAAAAATCAGGCGGTTATATGTTTTTATGAATGAGTTACACCGCTTGAACCGGGGTCAATCGGCTTCAATGACGTCATAGAACAATTGGTTCTTATTGTGACGTAATAATCTAAGTATTGTGACATTGGAAACTTAAGGGAAAGTGCACAAATTGAAAGTTGTCTATTCAATTGTTTTAATCATAAACCAGGCCGTTATATGTTTTTATGCCCCCGCCGTAGCGGAGGGGGCATTAAGTTTTACCTTTGACTGTCCGTCTGTCCGTACGTCCCAAAGTTGATTTCCGTTCTCTAACTTAAGTTTAGCTCAACCAAATTTTATGAAACTTATACACAATGCTTATTACAACAAAACACAGATCATGTTTAAATTTTGGTGGCGTCACTTTAACCGTTCTAGAGTTATGCCCCTTTACAAATGGAAAAATTCGTTTCAGTTCTCTAACTTTAGTTTGCCTTAACCAATTGTTATGAAACTTATACACAATGCTTACTACCACCAAATACAGATCAAGCTTGAATTTTGGTGGTGTCACTTTTACCGTTCTAGAGTTATGCCCGTTTACAAATGGAAAAATCGCTGAATTTTTCGTTTCCGTTCTCTAAATTAAGTTTGCCTCAACCAAATATTATGAAACTTATATACAATGCTTATTACCACAAAATACAGATCAATTTTGAATTTTGGTAGTGTCACATTTACTGTTCTAGAGTTATGCCCGTTTACAAATGGAAAAATTGCTGAATTTTTTTTTTCCATTCTCTTACTTAAGTTTGCCTCAACCAAATGTTATGAAACTTATACACAATACTTATTACCACAAAATACAGATCAAGTTTGAATTTTGGTGGCGTCACTTTAACCGTTCTAGAGTTATGCCCCTTTACAAATGGAAAAATTGCTGAATTTTTCGTTTCCATTCTCTTACTTTAGTTTGCTGTAACCAATTGTTATGAAACTTATACACAATGCCTACCACCACAAAATACAGATCAAGTTTGAATTTTGGTGGTGTCACTTTTACCGTTCTAGAGTTATGCCCGTTTACAAATGGAAAAATTGCTGAATTTTTCGTTTCCGTTCTTAAGTTAGCCTCAACCAAATGTTATGAAACTTATACACAATGCTTATTACCACAAATTAAAGATCAAGTTTGAATTTTGATGGTGCCACTTTTACTGTTCAAGAGTTATGCCCGTTTACAAATGGAAAAATTGCTGAATTTTTTTTTTCCATTCTCTAACTTAAGTTTGCCTCAACCAAATGTTATGAAACTTATACACAATACTTATTACCACAAAATACAGATCAAGTTTGAATTTTGGTGGCGTCACTTTAACCGTTCTAGAGTTATGCCCCTTTACAAATGGAAAAATTGCTGAATTTTTCGTTTCCATTCTCTTACTTTAGTTTGCTGTAACCAATTGTTATGAAACTTATACACAATGCCTACCACTACAAAATACAGATCAAGTTTGAATTTTGGTGGTGTCACTTTTACCGTTCTAGAGTTATGCCCGTTTACAAATGGAAAAATTGCTGAATTTTTTGTTTCCGTTCTTAAGTTAGCCTCAACCAAATGTTATGAAACTTATACACAATGCTTATTACCACAAATCAAAGATCATGTTTGAATTTTGATGGTGCCACTTTTACTGTTCAAGAGTTATGCCCGTTTACAAATGGAAAAATTGCTGAATTTTTTTTTTCCATTCTCTAACTTAAGTTTGCCTCAACCAAATGTTATGAAACTTATACACAATACTTATTACCATAAAACTCAGATCAAGTACAAATTTGGGTAGCGTCACTTTTACCGTTCTTCAGTTATGTCCCTTTATAACTTTATATGATATGCAAGCGGAGGCATCATCTGTGTCCCATGGACACATTCCCCATTTATTATGAATGAGTTAAACAGGTTGACCTGGTGTCAATCGGCCTAGGTCAATCGGCTTAAACAACGTCATTGAACAATGTGTTCTTATTGTGATGTAATAACATCAGCATTGTGACGTAGGAAACTTATGGAAAAGTGCACGAATTAGAAAGTTGTCTATTTAATTATGATTTAATCATAAATCAGGCCGTTATAGTTTTACTTTGACTTGCTGGGGCCTTTTAAAGCTTACTATATGGTATGGGTTTTGCTCATTGTTGAAGGTAGTAAGGTAACCAGACGTATTTACATCCTTGTCCATTGGTCTCTGCAGGTGGATTATTGTCTCATTGGTATTAAATCATACCACATCGTATTTTTATATAAAATAGAGGTAGATGATATTGAGGGGACATTCAAAACTCAGAAGTCAAGAGAAAATGTAAAAAAAAAAGATGAAAAGGCAAAAACAAGTTAAAAAAAACACTACATAGAAACTGGACAGCAACATGAATCCCAACAAAAACTGGGTGATCATGGGTGCTCCAGGAGGAAAAGTAGAGGATTACTGTATGATATCAACAACTGGCAAAGTTATTTTATTACAATGAAGAAGTTAAACAAGATATTGACTCAATGTATGAAATTTTTATATGATTTGCCAAACAATTGATAGCTATTTATATTTTTAACATCAGAATGAATTTGTAGTTGTTCATTATTTAGTCATCTGAAATCTTGGACCAATAGTCTAAGATGTAGTCAATTTCTTGTTAAATAACTATCTTGTTGTTTCCGTGTGTGCATACCGATTTTATCTCCATTTTCATTAATGCTATCTTGCCTGATTTTTTTTTAAAACAATTTTTTAGTACTGTACTAAGTTAAAATTCTGAATTTAAGAGATTTTCATTTAATTTTGAGATCCACTAATTATTTTAAAAGGACTTGCCTATGCTGGCAATCAGAGAATGAATTTTGAGTAAGTCTTTTGAAGTGATGTCGTGTCAAATAACGAATATAGCCTGGTGCTTAAGGCCAGATTTGAGTGTGGTCCGATACTTATATAATATGTAAAATATCATCATCTGTGGAACCACTCAGTTAGACAATTGAAACCAAACTTAGCCACTATCATTCTATGGATGTTTAGTTTTCAGTATCTTGTCAGATATCCCTGCAGTCCAAACAAAATATCTATTCTTATTACATGTATAGAGAGACCATAAGGATAAAATAGGCCAACTGATAATCTTTCATAACTCTCCCGGTAAATATCTAACAGATTTTTATTATACAAATTTGTGGTTTTCTCGTTTGCATTGATTTACATTTTGTCTTTTCTGGGCCTTTTATAGCTTACTCTTTTTTTAAGGCTGTATCGGGGCCTATAGCTGCTTACATCCATGTCTTTTGGTCTCTGGTGTATAGTTTACTTATACACTGTGTATCATCGCCACCGGAAATTGGGTACTAACGAAGCGGAGAGAAATGGAAAAAAAAGTAAACAAGGTAAGAATTCATTCAATTTAAAGCATTTCTACTGATTTGACGAGGGTACCGCTTAAGAAATGATTTTCTGATATATAATTCTTTAAATTATTAGACCGATAAGTACAAAATTAAGACAAGATTTTGTGTTATACTCAAGAACTTGCCACTTAGTACCTGAAAATTTCGAGGTCGATCGTCCTCTGTCGCCCCATTGGCAAGATATTCAACTGTTTTTCATTATTTTTCCAGACACTTTTTTAGATTATTATAGTGTGGCATCATATTTACTGAAATTTGTTGTCAAAATGAACTTTTTAAAAGAATATAGACCATAAAAAATAAAGTCAAGGGTACGGCAACTTGCTCATGTTGACAAATTTACTGTATGGCAACTTGTTTTCAACTGTATGGCAACTTGCTAATTTCAAAATATTTATTTGCCGTCTTTTTAAAGAAAATAAAGTATTAGGTTCAAATATCTAATTATATGCATTTGATAAAAATACAATTCGCTTGACACCATTTAAGATGTATACACAATATAAGGCTTGAACACAGTCCTATTACATCTTTTACATACCTGATGTGTACAATATGAATACGGCATATACAAAAGCTGGCAAATGTTGTAACTTTCGGAAAGGCATGTCACTGTTTTACTGACCTGTTGTTCTGCCCTGACGTAGCGTTAAATGTTACCCATGTCCGTCCGACCTGTCTCTCCCGTCCGTCCAGAAAGTCTCAATAATTGGTTTCCGTTCTCTAACTTTAATATGCCTTAACCAAATGTTTTAAAACTTACACGAAATGCTTATCACCACAAAACACAGATCAAGTTATAAATTGGGTAGCGTCACTGTTACCGTTCTTGAGTTATGCCCTTTTATAAA